TATTTCTAACAAATGTCGACCAAAATCTGTTGTGAAGTCTTGTGGGATGTTGATATTGATTTATGCGTTGTGAATTCAGATCGTAACTGTTGGATTATAATAAATTCAGTAAGTAGGCTTTCTTGTTTACCAGAGGTTCAACTTATTTTTTTCTTTTCTATTCATCTTAGAACTCTTCAAGCACGTATACATAACAGATGTGATAACTCACAAGCCTGTAAAATTAATATTTGTCCAATGTCCATCATTCATCCCATGAATACACATAAAAACAGCTGAATCTCTGCCCACATTTCCAGTTTTTCAACAATTATATTTTGCGGACTGTTGGCTTTGCTCCAGTTTGAAAAACAACCAAGACAGATACTCTAGGAAATGTTGTCTTTCTGTGCCAAAGACAGGAAATTAGAAGTCAGCACAGATGATTTTTTTTTTTTAAAGTCAAATCATGCGAATTAAAAAATTTTAAGCCAGCACGTGTATGAATCTGGTTCTGTGACTCTAACGCTAACTTCAAGTCAAGCCTTTGAATAAAGATGGTTAGGTAAACCAGGAAACACAGTCATAATGGGCACAAACTTTTACTGGATGTCACCGTCAAACCAAAGGAAAGTACAAATATTGTTCCACATAAACTTTCCCTCGTGGTTGCTCCTCTCAGGATCACAGCATTGTTTGAAGTGCTGCTGAAAACAAGTGGTGGAAAAAACTGACAGTGGAAGACTATTATCTGAAGACATTTGAATGTTAGAGCAAACGACCTCTCCTGAACTCACTACTGAGACTCTGGTCTTAAAAGCGCATTTGTGGTTTCTGTGGTGACCTGCTCGGCGTCATGTGCTTGACTGTGTCTCAGAGCAGAGTTGTGTTATTATTTTGTCCACTTTTTACCTGTATACTTCCTGCCCAGGTTCTCCAAACAGCTTTATTCTCAGTGTGAGTCGTTCACTGAAGGATAACACCTCTTCTACATCTTATATGACGGACAAACAGTGCAGTCAAATATAGGGATGGGAATTTAAAAGATTTTATCGATATCCATGCCATTATCGATTCTGCTTATCGATTCAATTCTTTAACGATTCCCTTATCAATGCCTTTCTTTGATTTAAAAAAAAAAGTAGACTTTAGGTTTTCACTGTTGACTCAAAATTTTATTGAGTGTTTGCAAACTATTTTTGCAGCATCTACTTTGTCGGTATTAAGTCAAATACATAATATGTTGTTAAGTCTGGCAAGCACTGTGCTAATGTTAATACAGGACATCTATCTTAGTAAAATTAAGTCACACTTCAGATCGTTTCTGCCTAATTTTCGTACCGTCAGACATGTTTTTTTCTTTGTCTTCGTTCTTGTAGATTGGCTCTTACGAGACCACTTTTCAAGGCACCCAGAAGAAAGGAATCGTTAAGGCAATTATTAAGATAAATTGTAAATGATGTAAATTGATTGAACCATTTGGAACCAGTTCTCAACAAGAAACGGTTCTCGATTCCCATCCTTAGTCAAATACCCCATAAGCATAATTGGTCAAGAAATCTATGGAGACAGAAATGCTAGAAACACTTTATTTATCAAGATCAACCAGTTGATGTTTTACAACAAAACAAAACAAAAAGACAATAAATTATTAAAGTAAAGCATAGTTTGTCATGAATAGTTTTGAATACAGCAAAGCAGGCTTTTGCTTAAGTATCACCAGCAACTTTTACATGGATGGAAATATGACCGTTCATTTGATGTGAGTAAGTAATGACCCAAAATATTACACAAGCAGCTTTAAATCCATGACACTAAGGAACATGCCGTCCCATTGAAAAGAAGTTGAGGGAAAAACAAACCAGTTATGAGGAAGAAGAGGAATGTCACTTTGGAGCACGCAACAATGGAATGTGCCGATAACACCAACAAAACTGGCAGACACAGGATGCACACACACTCACACACACACACACATGCACACACTCTTAACTTTCATTTACAGCGCATACACTTGCAGTGAATCAGCTGATGGTATCAGATTTGATGGACGCTCTTGGTACAGTGTCTCTATATTTTGCAATTAAAGCATCTTGAAAAAACAACAACAAAAAAATAGGGGACAGAGCTAATAACCATCTGGCTCATTACTGACTAAGAGTAGAACAGGCTAATTTATCTGCAAACCATTATCTGTGAAATGTGTGCATGCTTTGTGTAAATCTTTGTGTTTTAGTGTAGAACAGAAATCGGTCGCCGGCTTAGACAGAGGTTGCTTTCTGTAATAAACACCCACACAAACAACATCTGTGCATGTACGTGTGGAGGGTTCAGGGGATAAATTACTCACACACAACCTGACAAACTCTTGAAGTATCTCAGATCCTTTTGTATCCTGCACCTGTCAAATAACAGCCTTAACTCCACAGTATTCACAAATGCACATAAAAGCACTGGCGGCACACAGCTGATCGGGTTTCACCGTGACGATGAAATCGTCTCAGTGTCCACTCATTCTTTGTTTTGTCTGTCTTTAGAACAAAAGCAGTGTGTAAAATCCCATTTGCTCTGCGTAAATCCAGCCTGCAAGCCAGCCTGAGCGTGTGACGGTGGGACTCATGGGAGCCGAAGATGACAGGGGGATGACAGATGACAGTGTCTTTTATTTTGAGCAGCTGGGTTATGTGTATGAAGATGATAAGCAGATAGTTTGAAAAGTCCCTCTGATGCTTTCACACGCTCACACACGTGAACCACACATCATGTGCTGCCATCTCTCACAGACTGTAGGTAACCCTTTACCCTTTAAAGGGACATTCCGGCGTAAAATTAAGTTAGGGTCAAACACACTGAAGTTAAACTCCCCGTCGAGAGATGAATGTTGCCTACTGCTTGCTTCTCTAGTTATACCAACTTTAGTAACGACCGCAGATAGCGATACACAAGCCACGTGCTCAACCAGAACGCCACTCCATAGCCACAAACAGTACATATAGGGTCCCAGCCATAGTACTAGCCACCAAACATCTTTTTAACTTTGTCTAATTTCTTTAGCAGAGAGAGTAAATACAACTCACCTACTCTCTTCCAGCAGCCGTTTGTTTGTACAGAGATCTAAGGTGAGTCCATTACCGCAGCAGGGGGATGCAGCTCAAGGAAGAACATTTATGAACATTTTTTTCATGGAAATGCAATCAGACTGAGACGCTAAGGCAGAAGAACTACCCTGCCTTCAGTGAAAAATGATTAATATGATGATTGTTACTTAAAGGAAATGATAAAGAAATGATCATAAATGTTCTTCCTTGAGCTGTGTCACCTCGCTGTGGTAATGGACTTACTTGAGGTCTCCGTACAAACAAGCGGCTGCTGGAAGAGAGTGGGTAAGTTGTGTTTAGTCTCTTTGCTAAAAAAATCAGGCAAAGCTAAAAAGATGTTTGGTGGCTAGTACTATGGCTAGGACCCTTTATGTACTGTTGATGAAGTTCGGTGCTGTTCTGAGTGTTATTTGTGGCTATAGAGTGGCGTTTTGGTTGAGCTCGTGGCTCCTCAGACTGCAGATTGCTATGGTGCGGTCATTGCTAAAGTAACTAGAGAGGTAAGCAGTCGGCAACTTTCATCAACATTCTCGACGGGGTGTCTAACTCAGTGTTACGGTGTGTTTGATCCTATATAATGATAATATAATATTACGCTGGAACATCCCTTTAAACAAGAAGACTTCCTTCCTTAGCTCTCCCTCTCTTTCTCTCTCTTTCTCTCACACACACATGAGTTGTATTCCAGTAGAACTTAATTATTAGTTTAGTTGTCACATATCTCTTTTTAAGATATAGTACTTCTGCAGTACTGGAAAGCAGGGACTCAGATTGTGCTACTTGTAAGTGTCTTCATGAGGAGGAAAAAAAAAAGGTGTACGCTTAAAATCAGGCTAGCTGGATTCATGAACGTGCTGATTGAAACCACAAGAAGCTGCAATCTTTCATGTGCTGGATCCTGAAAGTGGCTCCTCTTTCTGCTCTCATCTATGAGCGCTGGTAATCTACAAACAGGCCGCTTGATTGTCCCTTTTCTGTCAGCTGTGCCTCAGAAAAAAAAGAGGAAAAAAAAAAAACACTCTCCCTCTCTCTTCCTGAGTGGCTTCCCTGCTTTCCGGTCATGTATTGAGGGTATAAGGATTGCAACTCTATGCGTGTTTGGAGAATTACGATTTGCAGCTGGAATGCCAGAGACACTCTAGAAACTGGGGAGAGTGAGTGACTCTGGTCGTATGCATGAGAGAGAGAGATGAAGGGCAAGAGGGAGTACACACACACACAAAAAAAGGAAGAAACGAGGTGGAAAATCAGGAACGCAAAAGACAGAAAGGCCTCTGAAATATAGAGCAGTGACTTCAGTAACTACAGTTTTTATCTGAAAGTAGAAATTGTGGCCTGGTGTGAAGTGTATGTTTGTGTGCATTTCAGACCTAGAGGGTTGTAGTTAGCCTAATTTTACATCTAGATAAAGGCTTATTTTGGTTTACACTCCCTTCAACTCCTCTCCCCTCCCTCCATCTCATGCTCACTCATCTCAGCATGCTCCTGGCGGAAGACATGCCTGAAGTTTCTAGAAACAGTCCTATCATAACACGAAGAGACCCATGTATAAACAAGATACAGGAATAAAAACTGTTTACATAGCATTTGGAAACGGTTCAATTTTGATTCAGTCAAGTTGGCATCCATACAGTTATTACATTTTTGAAAGGAAATAACACTTTAGGTAGAAAAGTGATGTTTAAATGGTACAAAACAAATTAAAAACATGTTGAAACCATGTATGTGTTTTAAAGTTGGCCTGTGAACATACAAAGGGTGGTGGTGTACCTGCAAGGGAAATGGTAGGTTGTGGTTTGTCAGTCAAATTGTCGCCTTCTTCTTTGCTGCATGTGTGGCTGCGTTGCTGTTATAATACAAAGTCTGATGTAAAATAGACGAGTTTGTCCATCAGTTCAAGATCCATGTGTCTGTCCGGGTCTCTCAGCGAGGGGGCTGGGAGGGACACGCACACTCACACTTTTCATGGTGCGTGAGGAAGATCTCGCCTATGACCCAGCGCACCTTCGGCCTCCGATGGCGCTGGTACAGGGTGACCTCTGGAGCATACTTGAGGACCTTATGGAGACAGAAAAATATCAACTCAGTAAACTTGGTTATTACCTGCACTGTTTGTCAGTGTTTTAAAAAGAAAACTTTGTCAGCTGGGATAGGAAAAGATGTGAGATGAAAAAATGTAGCGATGATAATTGGGTGTGAAGAAGAAAAAAAAGTTTGAGCCAAAATGAAGAAAGAAAATTTTAAACTAGTCACATTTTTTAAAAAGTCAAAAAAGAAAACAACACCAAACTGGAACTCTATTATGACCTTAATTCATTGATTTGTTTTTTCATTATCTTAAGTGTTTTTTGAGGCTGAGGTCATTCCCATCTTTGAAACATACTGAATACCTGGCGTCTGTGAGAAAAAAAATATGAAGCAATGCGCTGTAGACACTAATTTAAAAATATGGTAGACAAGGGGTGATGTTGATATGTTGCACTCGCACAGTGATTAAAAAGTTCAGTTAAATTAAATTTGTTAGTATCTCACATTTTTAAAAAGAACACAACATACTGAAGTGTTATGTAGTAAAATAAGCAAGTTACAACACAGAACATAAAAATACAAAATAACGCTGTTAAAATATTAAATAACATAAGAACACTAAAAATAATTAAAATACAGACTAACACTGCAAAAATATTAAATTACTAAAGAACACTAAAAATAATCAAAACAGAGACTAACAGTGTAATAATATTAAATTAGATAAGAACACTAAAAATAACAGAAATACAGAATAACAGTAAAAATATTAAATTATATCAGAACACTAAAAAAAAAAGAATAACACTGCAAAAAATATTAAATTACAAAGGAACACTAAAAATAATCAAAACAGAGACTAACACTGTAATAATATTAAATTACAAAAGAAACCAAAAAATAATCAAAATACAGAATACTAAAAGAGTATTTTGTATTTTGAACACCAAAATAAAACACAGAATAATACTGTAAATAACTGTAAAAAAGGATAGAGAAACACAACTCTCAAGCGTTAAGAGCCAAAGACTCAAGATAAGTTTAAAGATGTGGTGTTATTACTGATGAGGTTTGGGGGCCACTGCAGAACAGACACAGTCATCCTTGATTTTTAGTCTCGTCTTAGGAACCACAAGTGTCAGTTAATTATTAGACCTTACAGGGGGTGTAGACTTGCAGGAGGTCTGAGATATACTGTGGTGCTACTCCATTCAAAGATCAAAAAACAAGCAATAAAATGTTTGAATGAATCCTAAAGCAAACATAGAGAGAGTGATGGGAGTGAAGGATGGGGCTAATGTGCTCTCACGTTGGAGCGCCAGTTAAAAGACGAGCAGCAGCATTGTGGACCCACTGTGGACGTCCAAGGGAGGCCTGGTTAACACCATAGACTAGATAATTACTTTGTTGATGTCTTGGAAATGGCTTCCCACAATGCAAAACACGACCAATACACGTGAGGGCAACCCTGCACTTCTGTGTGCCTTGCACGGCTTTACAATATTGGAGTGTGAACACAAAATGACCCATGGCGAAAATGCAGCATTTCATCATCTGATTCAGGAGACAGCAAACAAGCTACAGGTCTGAAATCACATCAAGATCAATATTGAAAAACTGGGTGCAAGACTTCTCCATGTAAACAGAGTCTATAAAATGACCATGAAACTGACTGAGAAGCTCAACTTCTGCAGCATTTCCATTTTACTGTCTTTTCTTTCACAGATTTTCAGGCCCTGCACAGGTGGCACTTGTAATGTGAAAATGGAGTGGAAGAACAAATTGTCCCAAAACTGGTGCAGTGAGTTTCTTTCCACAGAACTTAGTGAAAGCAAGGCTGCTCAAGATTTATGTCAAGACTGCCCGGTGCTGAAACAATGCAGTGAGTAATGAAGTGTTTCTTCAGAAGTTAGGACGGTGAATGAAGTAAGACTACCAGCAAAGACTAGAGAAAAACAGGAGGATAGAAATGATTCACAAACACACACAAAAACACAGAACCCACCCACAATTTAAGAGCCCACATGCAAGCATCTGGACACAAACATACCTTGTTCAAGCTCTCGAGGACAGTGACTTACACACTCAGAGAACAATTACATCCCAAATCCCACTTTTGTCTAAATTTCCATTGTATGATTTTTAAAAGAGAGAGGGAGAGAGACAGAGAGAAGGCCCTGTGGACCGTTTTTCAATAATGATGCTATACAAGAACAAAGACACAAAGAGATGGAGGGAAAAGAGAGAGAAAGAATGAATGACAGGCTTAAGAACAAGAATGGCGTACTGTGAAGGGATAAATTGAAAATGGGAATTGGGAGAAATGAAAGGGTGATGGAAGCCCACAGAGGGAAAGGGAGCAAAAAAGAGAGATGGAACGCTTACAATGAAGCAAGAGAGGTAAGGAGAGATTGGCTGATGTAGAAACGGATGGAGGGAAGAGAAGCAGGAAGAAAGTGAGAGGCTGCTGGTGCATTGCTGCTTCATTGTCGATGCAGAACCTGGCTCTGTAAGCTCAGCCCCCCTTCCTTTCTACCTCCCTCACTAACTCGGTGTTCACTATCTTTTTGGTTTCTTGCAAATTTGCATCAAAAATGTGCTGCAGTCTGGTGGTCAAGAGAGGCAAATGAGCCGCAGCTAAGTTCCTCTCCGGCTCGATTTTAAACCCGTGTGCAGAAGTATAAAGAAAATGTGACACTTGAAACATTCTGCTCACATAAAAAAAGACAAAACCATTATCAGAAATGTATTGCTGATCTGTACACAATGCTGCGCAAGAACAAAAAAAAGAAACCTAACAAAATGAGGCCTCAAAAGTGGAAATTCGGAGGGGAATATATTGAAATAAACTTGGCATGCCTTTTCTAAAACACTTCCAGAACAACAAGAGTCTGGAGTTTATGCAGTCACATCAGGAGAAGGTCTTAACCTGCAAAAAACTTGACTTTTGCAAGTGTGACCCCCATTTTTCACCGCATCCGGAACGGCTGCAATTTTCGCAGTCCGCCAATTCCTACCGGATCTGTTTGTGAGGCGAATTTCATGGCAGATTGCGGACGGCAGGACCTTTCACTTGTTCGTCCCCTCCCGTTTGCATGGTGTGAAATACAATCCGCCTGAAACATGGAGTGTTTTATTTTGAAAAGAAGCCAGATGTTTTATTTTGTGTCTGTGCCTGACTTACTTTCCAGCACAGGTTAATCTGTGCTGAATTTATACAGCATGCTCCGGCATCTGGAAAAAATAGAACTTTTGCGATCCGCTGCGGAGTCCCGTCATCCACAGCGGAACGGAAAGAGGTTGATGGAAATTGACATATCAACTTGAATGGTTACAATTAGCTACGATCTGCGGATGCTGCCTTTTCGTAGCCATTCCGGATGCGGTTGAAATTGGGGGTAACTTTAACTCTTGTTGGCATTGATTGAAGAGTTTCAATGATATTGTGGGAGGTCAACCAATGTGTCATCATGCTATTTCGCCCTACCTCATGTAGTTTGAGTGCTGTCTTGGAGGCCTGACAGGTGCAGCCGTTGTTCCAGTTGTCGGTCCCACAGCCACAGTTTCCTCCGCAGCGTTTTACCAGCAGACACCGAGGGAAGAAGACGGCATTGGTGGCCCTCAGCTCCTCGCGTAGGTTGACTGAGTAGTTACGAGGGGTGCAGCTGTAGCGCTTCACATCGTCATACAGTCGGTTCAGATCAACTGGACAGTTTGAAAGAAAGTGGAGGTAAAAAAACAATTTATTAGTAAAGCTTCTCTGGAAGTTGTTTCTTTTTCTTCGTATTTTTAGAGTACTTCATAGAGGTTACTGAAAAAATAACACTTTGTTGTTTTTCATCAAGTATTTTCTCTCCTTGATCTATTTCTGCTTATTACCTGGTAACAAACCAACTATATTAACACCAAGTTGTGGTTCAAAGAGGATTTTTTTCACACCAAAGTCTAAATATCAGCAATTTTTCATTGTCATTTTCAATAGATGAGAAAATACCAGCAGCAAATGCATCAGGTCTTCTTCTTACTATTTGCCTTTTCTCCCTACTCAAGCTCTCTTGTAACAGTGTACCATCTTGGTTCATTGTCTTGATCCTAAAGCATGCTTAATATTGATTGAATGGAAATAGTTGAAAGATGGGGGAATACTGAATATGAATACAGCTGTGTGGAAAAGAAGGTGTCAAGACACGAGGACTGAGATTACCGGCCACGGGAGGAAGAGGGGGGTTATAATTGTTTGAAGATTGAGTGTATTGACTTCAGTCCTTCTTTATGTCATTACTTTAGAGAAAATCACCTTGTATGTGTACATGTGACCTCAGTTCATTGGGTTTATTCAATGGTTCAAAACTAATTTCAGGGGATTAGAAGCGACTACTGTAAGAGCTGATGGGAAAGAGAGAATCAGAGTACTGGTCTAGAGGGGTAAAACCAGCAGTGCCTGAAAAGTTGTGTGATCAAAATCTATCAGTATTTATTTATTTCTTGTCCCCCTAATACTGGCATTAGAGATCAGACTGAATGACAGGAATCCAGGGTTTGAGTTAACCGCGTGACCATGTCGGACAAAGGGTGACTGACAGGCATTTCCGCTCTTTGGTCACTCTTGATTGCCTGTTCTCTGAAAGGAAATCATAGAGACTTCAGGTGGTTTGAAGGATGCAACTAAAAAAAAAAATGTAAGAGAGTGAACAGAGGAGAGTCACACCAATCAGGTGCTGATTGATTCCTGTCTTCACTACCATTATCACCAGCAAGGTAATTATCACCGTCAATGGCCATACCATTGATGGTGGTTACACAAGGGTATGGGTCGATGAAATGACCAGTATTTTAATGCAAGGCTGCTTTGCATCGACCCAAGAAAGGCAAAGCAAAACTGTATATTCTCTTATCTGCTGAATAGGGCGCTCTTTAAGGCAAAAAAAGAAGAGTTCAATCTATTCTTTCAAGAACTCCTCTCTTTAACTGATAGTGAATTACCACATTGTCATAAATATAATTTTGGCAACGCATCTTAAAGCAAGTGGAAGTTTCAAGGAAGAACTAAGAATGGGTTGGAGTGCATGTCAGCTGCTATGAGACAAGCATATTCCAAAAAAGAAGTGATCTGCACCAGATGGTCCAACAAATAAAAGATCCAGGTCCAGCTGAGGCAAGCAGCTGCTGAGCTTTTATCACCTATCAAAAAAAAGGACTCCGAAATCAACAGGATGTCTGACTCTCTTCTTTGATGTTGGCATTGTTACCGCAAAGACCCAATACAAATCAGACGAGAAAGTGCAGGACCACAGAACGAAGGATATCAAATAGAACTTGGGCTTCCAACCTGGATGAGATGCTGTACTGTCAAGAACTCGATTAATCAATAGAAATATAAGCACTTGGATTAATGCTAGAGATGACAGCATGGAAGATGAAGAATTAAAAGCTGACAAAAAAGATGTAGTACCAAATGATTGCATCAGCTAATAGGTTGGATTTGAAGTAAGAGCATTAAGAAATGGACAAAATATTAAATATGGCATAAATCAAAAAGAATTTTAACATTAGATCTGCCTTACTTTCACTTTTCATTGACAAAAGAAAAAAGACCTCTATGACTCCAGAGGACTCCTCAACCTTTTAAGATCCCCCAAGCTCAAGAATTTTGCTTTATTTTCAAGAGTGTGGACAGATAATAACGTAGATTGAATTTAAAAACAAAAGAAAAGAAAAAAACAAACATTTTGATAGTTTGTTGAACATCTGAACCCTCCACTCAGCTGAAAAAGTGCTGAAAATAGTGCAATGACGACATTAAAATTTGAAACTATAAACTTGTGCTTAATAAAATAAAAATACTCAGACCTTTTCTTTGTAACTGGCTAGGTTAGTAACATGGTTGGGTATTGAAAGGGCCTGTTCAGAGTGGCTGAGTCTCTTAGAGGCGAACATTAACCACTCTGGGAGAGACCGCACGAGCAAATATCAAACAACTTTAAGATTGCATCAGAGTCCTTAAGCGCACAACCCCAAAACCAGCAAATGGGATGGTATAGAGAAGCATAATGGCCTGTGACTTGAACAGTTTACACATCCGAGCAACATATGCTGCACAAGTGTATTGAAATAGTCATTTTCCAGTGAATACAATACAAGTAATGCATTTAAAATGGGTCTTGATCTAAATATGTAGTGTATTCAAACTATCCGATACTAAAGTGTGTGGTAATAAAACAAAAAGTGCACAATTATAAAGGTAGAAACTCCTTTTCTCACTTCCCAGGGGATTTAAAGAGTTAATTTGGAATGGAGATAAATGAAACTTTCTTTGGGCACCACTAGATTCTTCACTTTATTAAAGTACAATGAGCTTTTACGACCCAGTACAAGAATAAAGGACTTGTCAAGATCAATATTCCCTGTAAACTACAACAGAGTAGCTCAGAGAGGTAGGCTCTTTTTCGAGCGTCGCTGCAACAATGCAACAATAAAGATCAGTCATGCATTAGAATTCCCTTGGAAACTGCATGTCCTCCATATTACTCTTAACAGTGACAGATTTGCTTGACATGCAATAATATGTATAAGAGCGAGAATCTAAAAAGATGTGTGGGAGTCAAGGGAAGCCTAATGGCATTGATAATCAATAAGCAATTGTTTGCTAAAAGAAATCTTTGCTGTGGGGGTTATCATCGATGACACAGAAGGAGGGAAGCAGGGCGAGCGATTAACAACAACAATAAAAGCATGGGATGGGTCATTTAAGAAGAGAGGGTGAACAAAGAAGGGGCACTTATATATTTTTTTTTATCTTGGCTTTTTTTTAGTTGATGTCAGCTGTAGGAAAGAGCAGAAGAGAGTGTGAAAGAGTGGTGAAAGTGTTTTCATACTGCACTGAAATCCCTGCACTCTCAGCGACAGAGGATGCTGTATGCATATCTGCTAAACAGGAGACCGAATAAAAGGTCGGACAGGGGAATAATCTCTGCATTTGTGTGGGTATTAAGAGGTGAAATGAGGAAAATCTAAAAGAGTCACATGGTTCAGCAGCAATCAAAACAGTTTAATCAAGATAATCTAAACAGAGTTTAGTAAAGATAGTAAAAAATAAAACCTGGAGAGTTAAAACAGCTAAATGTATGCTCTGACCCGGTTGTTCCTCATTCAAACCACCTGAAACCTCTGCCAATATAACTCTGTCTCCATCAACTTGTGCCTTTTTTAAGGGAAAACAAGTAAATCTCACACATCGCCATCAAAATGATGCATAGGCAACTTTTTCCCAATCAATTTTGGGTTTGTGTAGAAATCATCTCATGGTCTCGGCCCACCCTTCACGTCTTTGTAATAATACAACTACTCTTAGCTTTACATGCAGCCAAATCATGAAAGTGTTTTTTCTTCTTGTGTCACTTTTTTTGTCAAGAAAACGAAAAAGGACAGGGAACCCATCATTTCTGATTTCTTCAGATTTTACTGGAGAGCAAATTGGCAGTTTTTCAAGCAGCTGCTTTTCAAAGTTGATGCAAGGATGTCAAGAGTGATACCAGGTGTCTCTTACATCTGTGATGTTTGATCACAACTCTAGCATTGATACAAAGCTTGGTGTAAGGGTCCTTGGACAAAAGCACGACCCGTCATCTGTCTCTCCACATTCAATCCTGCTTTGTATCACTGAACACAAGCGGCACAATGTGTTTGTGGGTCAAGGGTCTATATTCTCTACAGTCTGACGGAAGACAAAGGCAGAGGTCATGCTTGACTCTATCAGCTGTGTGTTTGAAGGGTCAAGCCAACAGTCCTTTGGAGGAATCAGTGTAATCTTAGAAAAGCAGTGGCGTGAAAGCTTGTCATGGGGTGTGGGTGAGAAAACATGGAAAGATGAAGTGAAAGCGAGACTGAGATGTCACTCACACTGACAGCAACGTGAAAAAAGTTGAGTATAAATGCTGTGTGATAATATTCTGCTCATTCTGTGCAAAGTCATTACTGTATAAGCCTGAATACGCCTTAGTTACTTGGACTTAAAAGTGTACCAATTAATATTACGATCAGGCTTACTGTCCTTCATGGGAACAAAGGTGGGTGTGAGCCACCAAGTGTGTGTGTGTCTTAATGAAAACAAAGCTAAGCTGCTGACTGTGGTGGATTTCTGCTCTGCTGCACAGGTTGAATTTCCAATTAGAGGGAGCTACGCTGGTACAGTATATGAAAGACCTGCAGCAGCACCTATACACCTTTTTTAAAGTGCTGCAACACGCACGTACAGTCCCTATATGCGGCATCTATTCATGCTAGCACAGCTCACGCATGCACTGATAAATAGAGATGGATTTGCTGTCAAGCGCAAGGATTTGGAATGGGGGGACACCGAGGGTAGAAATACAAAGAAAGTGGAGGGGTGATAGGTGAGAGACTCAGGGTTTTGGTAAACGTGAATGCTTCTATGAATTAGCCACATACGTACCTTCCTCATTGTGTGACATGGGTGATAAGGGTGTACGTATCTTTATTTAATCTCTTCTAAGCCCAAGGTCTATTATCTCAGTGACTCCAGGTTGATGGTACTAACCCCACAGTGAAATACTGTCTTGAACCGATGGTCTCCTGTCACTTTAAATCTTACTTTGACTCTTGATGAGACCCGTTAGAGGGCAAACGGTTCATTGGATGATACAATAACGCAGTCATCATACAGTGCATTACATTGTTGCATCTATAGCTGGTTTCATATCTCACACTGATCTTATGTGAAAACAGAAAACAAGAGAGGGGAGTTAAGAAGTTATTTTCACATCTTGGTTTATTCAACTGCAATTTCATCTTGAAATCTTTCCCCTTTTTGTGTTTGGTTAAGTTCAATCTCAGGATCTGTCTGCAATCACTGTCCATCACTATTTGATAATACTACATGGCTTTCAGTCAAACTGGTGCAGACAACAGTCAGCGTTCAACTACTTCCAACCAGCCGAGTAATGTGGTTTTTGTCTCCTAGGTTCCTGGTCCTAAAGGATAATCTGTTTTTACAATCGAAGTGTGTCAAGTTTGGCAAATTAGAACACTGATTGTCTGTTGTGACACAGAATCGAGCAGATCTGATGTTCGAGTTAAAATTTTGATCCAGAAGACACTGAGTTCTGGATTTGCTTACAGATGTCTGATTGTAGAGACAGATTAATGGTTGTCAGATGGGATTCAGGATATCAGTCTGGCAGTGTAGGATCTGCCTGCTGTTGTGTTCAACACGGACTGCCAGAACATTCCCCCAACTGAAAGTCCAAGTCTGTCCTTCTCATCTCACTGTCATTCTGCTTATGAGAGCTGGCATTATTAGACGCGTATTGCTAGCCAAACAGTACGGCTGCCATCACTTTGTAAGTGAGAAATAAACACGGCTATAGGCAACAGGTGAACTTCTCACTAACATTTAGATAAAGACCAAGCTTTTGATGACAGTAGATGACACATCAAACTCATCATGTATACATGGTGGTAGTGAACATATGATGTAGTATTTTAATGATTTGGGTATTCTACCAATAAAAAAGAGCAACGGTCAAAATAATTATGGACTCTGATTGATTAAAGCGTTGTAAGTATGACAAGTATATTGGAGGGACAGATGTTATATGTATGTATACAGAAGTCCAGAGATACATAACCACATGTCATTGCCTAATTCTGCCTTATCTGTCACTGGCTGAAAAAAGTGGTTCCAACTGCATATGAAACAATTCATGCCTGTTCTACATTAGATGAGAAGGCAACAATGAGGTTTGATTACATAATTACAACAGTGATTAATCATTTCATTTAGACCTAGATTTACAATAGACCTTGTCCACTCCAGATGCTGTACCACTGGGTTTCCTGAAAAGACCAATGAGTGGGAATTGGCCCCCTGCTGCATGGGTCTTTGTCTGTCAGCACAAGGCCGCACGCTCTCCCTTCCCCTCTATTACACCAACCTCTGCAGCGGTTTGCAGCAAATGCTGTGAATGCAGCTCTTTGGCTGAGGACGACTATCTGCAGCACTATGTAATAAACAGCACAGCACTCAGCTTACCAAGTAAACATGCAAATTCCAGCCTTCCACCCACAAAGCTCAATTATATTAACACCCTTGTATTCTTATATATAAAATACAGTTCTTGTAAACACTTGTTATTCTAAGATATTTAAATCTGCTTTGAGTTTGCATCTGATTAAAGGTCAATAAATCTTTTTAACGTTTAATTTATGCATAACAGAAAGATAGCATCAATATACAAACATAAATAAGATATATTTTTCTGCTCTATTCATTGTACAAGACAAAAGGAAAGATGATATTAATAGCTGAACAACTTACAGTCTAAATGAGCTTCATTATATAACTTGTGTTTCCTGTTACATTTTACAACCTTGCATTACACACAGCTCTGCATCAGCACCAATCATACACAACAGAATAAGTTTAATCAAAGTTTAAACTGATTTCTTCTGGTTAGAGGTCAAACTTTTTTGGAATACTTGTGACAAATAAACTGCCCCAAATACGTTTTTTCTTGGTGCTGCACTCTTTGTTTATTTAAACTTAAGCGAACAGTAAATACTATCTGAACTCAAGTCTCAGAGTAGTAAAGGTTTTAATGTAAAACTACTTTTTAAGGCCGGGACACTAGGGGTGGGAGAAAAAATCGATACAGCACAGTAGTGCTGGGCGATAGGACGATAAATATCGTGGGCACGATAGAAAATGTCTATCGTGCCATTTTTTTTTTATCGTTTCGGCGATAGGCTGTATGTTATCCATAGGGCTTGTGCCATCAGATGATTCATAGTAACAACAACAATATTTGCACATTCAGTAAGTGTATTTGGTGTCGAACGGGAAAGAAAACAATATTTTCTTACAAAGAAAAGGATGCGTTGACATGTAGGCTCGCATTTCTCTTTCGATTTTGCGACATGACGCCGCTTTACGTGCCCTCTTCGTGTCCAGCGTCTCCCGCCGTTGCGGGTTACCTGAGTTACACACGTGAGGGGATCATTGTAAGCAGTGCTTAATTTGTGCCGGAGCAAGTCAGAGCGCGATCCGGGACCTCTTTTGATCGGATCCGGGACCTATTTCAGCCGTTCCGGCACCTGTTTCATCTGCTCCGGGACCTTCCCTGTAGAGGATGACATTTTTCGGGAATTCCCGTGGGTCACGTGATTCCCGCGGGAATCCCACGGGATGGGAATCATTTTTTAATGAATCCCTTGATCGGGACTGGACGGGAAAAAAGCAACGGGAGTGGGCAGGAGCGGGAACAACATTAAAAGATGATCATTTTCAGCCGTGTTTAACAACCAGATGAACAGGTGCGTCCATTTTTGTAGTCATCTCTCAGTGAGAGCCAACACTCTTGACCGCGCTAGCAACACAAAAGAACTACAACAGTGGTTTGACTTCCTGTCAGCTGGGAGCGCGGCTGCGCATTTGTACCCTTCAAGCCAGCAGCGAGGAAACGTAATTTTGTGACATTCTGTAGTTTTTCAATCATTTCTGGAGTCGTGGTGAATCAAATCACCTTACCTGTCTGCCCCTGATAGGCGAATAAAGCGCTCGGATTCATGCTCGGGTCTTGCTACGTGCTTCAAGAGTAAAGTAAACAATGATGGAGGCAGAGAGCAGCTTTGGAGGAGAAACATCTAGCAGTGTGAACAACCTCTTCAAAAGAGCCCTAAAGACCTACCTTTTTAATAAAGCCTTTGGTTAGCTTTCCTTTATGCTTTTACTACCTTGCCTCTTACATTGAAACTCTATATTTTTTATTTTTTTTAATTCTTTTTTTATGCCAATCTGTGACTGTCATTCTATTGCTTTTTTATTGTTGCTGCTCTTTTTTTACTCTGTACTGTAGCACTTTGAGATTTTTTGTAAATGTAAAGTGCATTACAAATTAAATTTATTATTATCATTATTATTATTATTATTATTATTATTATTATTATTATTATTATTATTATGGAGTGCTTTGGCTCACACTATCAGCGTTTTCTGTGAGTGTTGCATAACTTTGGGTGAGCACAGACATGAATGCACTTGGGCCACGTATTTATTTATTCAATTTTCTAGTTGTAAGTGCTGGTCTTGTACTCGTACTGTACTAGTGCAGCTGTATACACTTAAATTTTTCATAGAACTGAAAGCATACCATAGCTATATCGTGATATATATCGTTATCGTGATATAAAATGATCCATATCGTGATATACATTTTTTTCCATATCGCCCAGCACTACAGCACAGTATCGCGTTATTTTGTCTGGTGATATATCATATCGTCTCATTTACCAAGTACCGATTTTTCAAATTAATTGTTAATATGAAGTCCAATCTATGATAATGGAAAAATAAAATCAACAGAATAAAGTTACTACAACAAACATATATGTAAGGTTTGCAAGAAGTGTTATATGAACAAATGCCAAACAGATAAAAAAAAATTTAAATCGCAATATATTGTATTGCAGCACTCACTGTATCGCAAAATGTTAAAAATCGCAATAATATCTTCTCGTGGTCCAAGTATCGTGATAATATCGTATCGTGGGGCCACTAGTAAATCCCACCCCCAACATACACTGTATTCTGTAATCTCTTCTGTGTTTATACTTAAGTGTTTATGCTTTTGAAAATGATGTTCATCTTACCTTTATTGTGTCTGCTTGCGAGGTGATAGGCTCTGGATCTGTAATGTATGTGTGTTTGAGTGTAGATACTGTCCAGGTCCTGTCTCCACGTGTCAGGGCTTAGAGTCCTAAAGAGCTGTTCAACAGTGTCAAAGGCAGCTATGGTCCGGTCCAAATCATCCAATGTGAAAGGAACCTCTGTGACAGCTGTTGGCATCTGGCCTCCACCGCTGTCCTGCAAAAAAACAAAAAGGTAAACATGATCGAGGCTGTAAGCTTTTTTTTCTAACTGTTGGGATTGTTAAATTAAAATGAAATACCTGTAGGCACAGAACCAGGGTTGTCAATTTTCTACACTTAGTGGAGTCTCGGCAATTTTCATGGTTTCGTTTCAAGAATATTTTCTTTATTCTGCAGTTATAACTTGTGCTAGGATTAAGAGGTCAGAACTATTTCTTTACGAGAATTGAAAAGATATCCAAGGATGATCAGGATGATATTTGGAGATATCAACAGATAACCTCCACACTGCAACAAAGAGAGAGAAAAATACAGAGGCTGCAGTCACCTCAGGTCATATTGACTCAGAATCCTCTTGATACATCCAGACATTTAAGAGATTCCTGCTAAACATCAAAGACAGAGCTTTTAGTGAAATGGGAAACAGATTTTCAAGGAGACATCTTGACCTAATGTCAGTCCGCATCTTCCTCCACAATGTAGATTTGGATGTTTAGTTCTCTCTTAAAACCTGTAATCCTTTTATTTTAAGCAATATGCTGCTGTTTCGGTTCATTTTGGAGATAATCTATTATCAAGTAGCTTAAACTCCTGTGATAAAATATTCTCTTCGTGTACAGTAATCTTACCTATTTTCATAGTGCCATCTTTTTGTTCCAGGAACCCTTTAGAGTTTGACTAATTCAAAGATTTCTCTGCTAGAGTTAACATTCGAAGGCTTATAACCTTTGACAGTCAAGTGTATCATTGATTGTGAATATTTTTATATTAACTGCTGTCTCTTCAGCAACAAGACTGACGCATGCCCCCTTGTACCAGTTACAGGCATTGAAAAGTAGGACATAGAAATTGTCAGTCATGTCAATGATGGTGTTGTTTGCTAAAAAGACATCAATAGGAATTTCTGTCTATGTCATGAATAGAAGCTGTAATTGCACATAATTATTCACCTTTTACTTCATGGTTTGTAATTCATAAACCACTTTAACGCCTTTCCCTCTGCTCGCCAAACTTATGCACGCTCTCACCTGCAACCACCGCCCTTCAGTCTCTCATAACCTAAGTATGTACTGACTATGTTCACTGTCTTCTTTAGGACTGTTTGAAGTTGCAAAAACAATTGAGGCGCTTACAGCAGACGGCTACAGAGAAGGAAACTCGAGAAGCTAAAACATTTAAAGTCATCATTTAAGTATGAGAGGGAGAAACTAACAAACCATACACGCACATCCCATTTGCCCTGACAAGAACGTCTCTATCCACATGCATGCAGAAAATATACACCTACACACATGACCATAATCAGCCCATGCATAAAAACTGCCACACAGCCCAATGCACTCATATCATTATGGTTACACATGTCACTGAACTAAAGGCCCACACAAATTATACTGCTGTACTTATAAAAACATTATTCTAAGGAAGCTTGTCGTTTTACATGTCAACTATCATGCATAAAAGATGGGTATTTACATGCATGAATTTATCCTGTGCGTGGGTATGTTTAAGCCTATGCAAATGGACCATATGTGATATCCATTAGTGAAGCCGCATTGTTGTCGGGGTGTTTAAGTAGACAATTATGTGAGATAACAGCCTTCCAAGCGAGTAGATTCAATGTCTTTTAAATATCACACACATCTGTTTGGCAAACATATTTCATTTAAAAAAAAAAAGTGTCAGTGCATAGTTTGACATGTGAGCTGAAGTACACGTCTTCAAGATTGATTTAAAAAAGAGTACTATCCCTTTCATGCACCTTTTTTTCCGAGTTGAACATAAATGGATGTGAAAATCACCACATAAATTAAAGCAGAATGTAGTCTTTCAGAAAGGTGTGTTGCTTTGCATAAATTAAAGGAGCTTTGGTAGCCTCTGTTGATGCAGAAAATAACATGTCAGCAATTTGTATAAATCAAATACCAATTGTTGAGCTAAAATGACAAAGTTTAAAAATATTCATTGAAAACAAACCAAAATAATAATAAAAAAAGAAAATTAATCTTCCTTGAATTCATGCAATTTGATTTTGTGCCTTGGTGCAGCACGTAGTAAATGAAACAGCACATAGCCCACTACTTAGAGCCACTGCCATACTACACTCAACTCAACAGCTTCAGCAGCCTTCTCCTGTCTTCAAGAGCTTAACTAGAAACCAGCAAAGCAGGATGACAATGTGCATCTTTCAAAGCAATTTTTCAGTTCTCTTGATTTTTTTTTGGCCAACTTGTACATCAATGACAAAAGAAGCTCACTATTGCTATATTCTATTTTATACAATATTGAAATCACTCTTCACACCCACCCATGTGCGTTCATTCATCACTGAATAAACCGATTACATGAAAACTGCAAGTTATTATTAAATTTTAAAGTTTCGTTGTTTTTTAACTTGAGCTCCACTTCTTTTCTCATTGCTGGGTCATGATTCAAGCTATGGAAGACTGATCACAGCTCTTGTTTGAGCTATTTCACCATACAGACACCTTGCTGTTATGAGAACAGACACACCATTTTTCTTAACTTCCTCTTTTTAATTATTGCAGTGGCTGCTCCAGCAAGCAGCAGATTAGTCCACTTGAGTGTGAACAGTCAACTTGTAGAGAAAAGTTTGGAAACTTAAATTTATGGAACATTTAAAACTTATTGGGTCTCAACTATGAAACATCAGTAATGTATAGATTTACACATAAAAAGCCTAAATTCATGAACACAAAGCAAAACCCTGTGATTTTGGTCGTAGACGAGTGTTTAAGTTCAGGAATACGTATCAAGTGTGAAGTTACTGTGCACTTCCGCCAGTCACTGATCAGTATAATGGCTTATTTATGCTCAACGTTACATATGGATCTGGACACAGATGGAGAGTCCGTGCTTGACGTTCTTTTTGTCCATCTTTCTGCATGTATCCTTGAAGTTTACGGATACGGGCCAGATGGAGCAGTACCACCAGAAACCGCTGGGGCAGTGTTACTGATGTCACTACCCAATACGCACTGTATTACAGTACTGAAAATGACGATCATCGTCAATCTCTTTCATCGGTACTACCACAGAAAAGAATTCTTCGTCCTTCAGCCGGGAGGCATTTAGTGGCCTGACTGACCACCGCCTCCTCCAGCGCTGCTGTTTCTGTCTCCCCATGCAAAATATACAATATCACTAGCTCCTCCACAGTCGCCATTTTTCTTTTTGTTTGTTGTCAGAAACTTTTGACTCCGGCCTGCCTCCTGGTGGATGTAATAGTTAACATCCATACCAATATAAAGGAGGCATGGAAGTTTCTGGGCTTTGATGGACCAATCATTTGAAATGGACACGTACATTTTCACACGTATGGCATAAATGAGCCTTAAGTCTCAACCAATGAATAGACAACAAACACCATATAAGGAGGTGTGAATGTGTGGTTTCAGTGGACCGGTGGGCACGGTTCAGAGAGAGAGAGGACCTTGACTCCAACAGCAGGACAGACTAACGTTTGAGCTAAATAGGATGAAAAGTTTAGAAAATGCTTGACGTATTGAAAAGTTTCATCATCTTGAGTCTAATGTAAAAAACAACAACAACAAAAAAAAAATCAATGCTTCAGACTGTGTTACAGGGTTTCAAAAAGCGTAGATCTGTGAGAATGACTCACCGACACTGGCATGGTGACAGCCTCCCAGTTGGTGTTGGATGCAGGCAGAGGGGAGTCATACTGCAGGAACAGAGAGCAGATAGTCAGTATTTAATTGATTCAACAAACAAACTATGAACCAATACAAATAAATGAAACAACTTTTGGTGGATAGTGAAATATGTTGTTTCTGTATTTGAAGTTGATATACCTCTTCTTTCTTAACATTAAAGATTGATGTTGCATTTCGTTTGCAATTGCTTAAAACTTGCATTGGGTAAGAAAAACTGTATTTTTTTTTACCTTTTGGCAAATGCTTACATAAAATCTACTCGTCTAATGCTGGTATTTTTGAAACACTTCAGCTAGGTTCCAGGGAAGATCTACTCGTCTTCTTAGGTTATCTGGTATACTCAGGTGTCTGCCTGTCTTACTGGAGGATTGTCGGCATGTCTGGAAAATCACACAAGAATTTCCAATGAAGCTGGGCACCACATGCCTTTGTGTATGTGTGTGTATGTGTGTGTGAGAAAGAAGGAGACAATCAGACGAAGCATGTTAAGGGGATAAGGACTCATCAGACTGACATATCTGGCACACATGCACACATTCTTTGTATTTCTCTTTTTCACACACATGAACAAACACCGTCTCTAGCATCACCTTCTTTACTACACACATATAAAACCTCCCTGGCCATTGAATCCCTCTTCTTCAAGAGTCTTAAATACCACCTCCGGTCAATAAGGAGCAGTTAATCTGTCTCGACCGCACTTCAAAGACACAGTGTGCTCACTTTGTCTCAGTGTGTGTAAGTGTGTGTCTGCTAATGTAATAGAGCTGACATCAAAGTGTGTCGGTGCGCAAAGGTTTTTGTTTCACAGATTTGTGCATGTGGCCTTTGGATGAATGTACTCATGTACTTGAACACACACCCAAACCAGCTGTGAATGAAGTCAGGAGGTTTCCTGTAAGGGCGTGTGTAAGTGTGTGTGTGTGTGTGTGTGTGTGTGTGTGTATGTGGTAAATGCATGTTTACAGAGTCCTTGTCTCATTTCCTTTTACGGTGAAATGCTCCATGTCAGGAACATCTGGGACACTTAATAGGGTTGGAAAAAGCTTATCAGACATGATCACATAATCTTTAGAGGCAAAAACACTTGAGCATAAAGACAGCTGCCACTCTTGTCTTGGTTGTTTGCCACTATGATGCCCCATAGTACTCTATACTGTTTTTGTACCACCAGCAGCCAATCAGATTTCCCTTCGGGGGCAGTGAAGCTCTCTAAACTGAATATTTAACAACTCTGTGACAGTTTTCATGTAGTGGCTTTTATAAAATATGCATTTGTTGAAAGAAAATCAAAAATGCAAACATACTTCTGCTGATTTAACCTTGATGCATGCCTATCTTTCAAACCAGTCCAACAACATTTGACTTTTCCATTAGCCGCTGTTTTTTTTTCTCATTCCCAACCAAAAAAAGGATGTATTAGTATCTGATGGATCATGTATAGTGAGTGGGTTGATACTGATATAGAATCCCAACAGGGAGGATGGATAGGTGAGGTCTCGTCCACCATGAATGCATCTATTCATAACCACCCACTCCCTGTATACTGTACATTATCTTGCTTAATTCAAGTTGACACTAACATTTAAATACTATGTGTGGATGTTCATAAGATTTATTTAAGAAGCTAAAAACAAAAATCACGGGTGACTAGGGTCAGGTACAGAATAAGGGGCCCTCATTCTAGAGCAGACCTGGGCATTTTATGGCCCGAGGGCCACATCTTTTGGATGTCCCTGTGCAGCCCTTTGTGAGGTCCGTCAATCAAATCATCAACATGCTATAAAAGTGTGTTGCTTTTATTTTGAAAACCTAGCCGTTGTTTTATTTCCGTTTGGACATGCGTATATCCTAGATCTGCAATCGTGAACAGAGACAAGTTTTAAAATGGGCAAAATATTCTTAGATGCCTTAGAGTTGCCAAGTCCGCTTATTATTAAAGACTTTAAGCTTGTTTCTCTCAGAAGTTGCTTGTAAAACTCGCGGGTGTGCTTTTCTGGGCTTATTTTTAGCCAGTAGTTGCTTATTTTGGCTTGCTTTTCTGTATGTGTGAACCTCCCTGATTTGAAGTTGAAGTTATTGTTGCTTTGGCCCTCCAACACAGTTAAGGTTTCTTATGTGGCCCCATGTAAAAATTAATTGCCCACCCCTGTTCTAGAGGGGCCCCCAAAGTTGAATGGCCACAAGTGCAGGTAGGGCCCCTTACAGTCAATTTTTCTATGGATCATAATTATGCAACACGCCCAGTTTTAAAGGTCAGTAGAACCTCTTACTCCTTATTTTCAGTCCAGACTGCATTGTGTGTCACCATAATTTCAGACTCTTGTCATTTTGTACACAGGTGCAATCAGAAAGAAAAATGCTGAAAAATGGGCTTGTGGCTCTACTTTCAGCATGCAAGAGTAAACTGTTGGTTGACCAAAATCGCTGGCAGGCCAGATTTTCACTTCAGAAAATGAGCTGCTGATCAGGCCTTGATTGGCCCTCATGTCCCCCCAGTATGCTGTAAATGCAGCGTGATCGCCGTGAAATTTAGCTTGACTTCAAAATCAGGTCTCAGTTTGCCTTGTATGAACCCAACCTTAGTCATGTGGCACTTGTCTGGTGCAACTTTCTATGTTTAATGCAGGTCACGCTGCACATACCCAAGCAATCTTGTAAATTGGCACACCAGGAAAAACAAGGAATTACAGATTTCATCTACAGTAAAACATTCCAGTAGAAATTCGCAGTTACAATTACTCTAATGTCTCTGAATTATTGAAATCATTCAACACTTCATGTTAGAAGGACGCTTTTTTTTTATTCCACTGCCTCACACTGTCTTGCACTGGTGCTGTGTGACCATATTTGCCAGTGATGGGGAACACAATCTTATTTACTGAAGCAGTCTTGTGGAGGGGACACTTGGGAGCTGACCTCTTTGACCTCCATTTTGTACAGTTGGACGCTGGAACAGCTGAAGATTAAGTGCGCGGTAGATGGTGAGGGAGGCCAGAGCATTTTTACTGTCTGCTTGTACTGCATATAACCAGTTTACTCCCTGAAATTCAGGGGCATTTAATTTAGAAGATAGATCACAAGGCTATTCTGCTTTCTCATCTTTATCTAAATATCTGTTAATTTAAGGTGGAGCAGATAAAAGGCTCTATCTCAGCTGGCGAATCAACATCTTTAACTTTATAATTTTTACCTTAAATTTAGTGAAAATTTACTCTATCTTTGCTGTATTTAAATATACAGCAGCAGTGGTTAAACTCAAAAATCCATTAAAACACTGTACCAGAGATCATCACACTATTACTCTATAGCTTTTTACAGGGTCAAAACACATTTTCTGTGAGCTACGTGGTTGATGCTGTTTGTTATCTAGAATAGTAACACATGTAACATGTGTTGTTTTCCATCATTACGTGGATGAGACTCCATGTCTGGGAAGCACACCTCTAATGACTCAGAATGGGATTCTGGGAACTAACTTGGATCATATTTCCGTATCAATAGTCTTTCCCTGCAGTGCCAAGCTGAACAACACTTCCCAGGTCTTCCCACTCAAAATATGTTACTGGTCTTTGTTTGATGTCAGACAATAATAAATAAAATTTATACTTGAAGCAGCCAAAGACTGATGAGGTTCTGAAGTCTAAGAGGACAGAGTTTTACACTTAAAGAGTGTTTGAGTCTTTATAACCAAATAGCTCCTTAAATGTTAATCCTATGCAATCAAAAGCACTCATTACTTCATGTAAGCCGGCACCGCAGATGACGAAGCTCACCCGCTGAAAACAAGATTTAAAAAGGATCAAAGAGTGATGATTTTGGAGGAAAAGCAGTGACATGAATAATGAGTAAGGTCTCTGTTTGACTGGAGTGTTGCCTGCAGATGCTTGTCTTTTGTTTCTCTGTGGGGTGGGTAGAATGGGGACAAGTTCTTCTTTTGTATCGGATGTTAGGTCATTTTAGGTTCCCATCTATTAAAACTCACCCAAAGTTCTTTTTAAAGCAAGAAATTCTGAAAACTGAATCCTCGGTTAGAAAAAGATGGTGTGGTCCAACCTCAGAATTAATAAACGTATTTTCACAGATTGTTTGGTGTAAAAGTTCATAAACTGACGCAGTGAAGGTTGGGCAAAACCATTTTAAATCTTGCCGAAAGCTGCAAATTTGAAAACAATCTTAAATTATCAAAACTTAAAATATAATTTCTTTCCATTATCATGCACCATTGTTTACTTCTTTATATCTACATTATATATTCAAAAAGCAAGCTGTGATATTGTGTGATAGTGCATTGCAACATGACAGCTGAGGTTTTGTAGCCATTTGGTCCACTATTATTCCCTGTTACACTCAGTGATGATTGTACAGGAAGGATAATATCAATGACTCTTGGCAGATGTTGTGAAAGTTATCGACATTGCTTTCTCATCTGTATCAATCAATACTCTCACAAGCACTGATCCCTCAATGGTTGAACTGATTTTCAGAGAAAAGCAACGACTAAATGTCACGTCTACTGTTATGTGGCGACACTGTCAGAGATGCTTCACTCAGGTGTTTACTGATACAGAGAGATAAAATAGGCAGATATCTATGGATTTCAATCCAGTAGATTCAGCTTCTTCATCCACAAACTCTTTACAGTACTTAGGGATGGCAAAGAGGTTCCTGAATCTACACCTTCTCAACTCCTGAATAAAATGAATCCCAAATAATTACGTGAACCGTTTGAAGGTATCAATTCCACTGCTTTTCTAATCAGTAACTTAGTAACCTCTTTTGAAGACCACTTAGCTGTCAAACCAGACAAGGCCGCATTAAGTGGCTCCCTCCAGAAGAATAAGAACACCTATAGCACTTCAAACTAATGAGCAGCTGTAAAAGGTCATAAAGAGCAGAGCCTGGAATAATAAATCACACTGCCTGTTTCACCTCAAAGAACACCTTTACTTTATAGGTTGTTGTAAAACACGCATGAGTGGGACAGTGTCAGTCTACACCATTCCTCTCACGTATCAGACCGACACGACCAAGATGTGCAGCACTGGAACAAGACTGCATGAAGATCAGATATTAAATGGATTTTGCTTGACTCTGTTGCTAAGTTATGGGGTTTTAGGAAGCTTAATGACGTTGATTGGATATGATGATAATGGATTAAAAAGGTAAACATCATTAAACCATCTGAAGGTGCCACAGACCACTTAATGTTTTTAAAAACGACAAAAAAACCCTCTCTTTCAAAGCCCATTTCCTCTTATTTACATATCTTTTTCTACAGTAATAACAATAATAATAATTATTATTATTGCTGTATGAATGATGGGCAGAGCCGCTGTGGGATCAACTACTTGCATTGTCCCTGAACGCGTTCATTGACTTCGCTCACATTTAGATGAACAATGAACTGAGCAACTCAATTTGCAACTCATGAATAAAAGCATGAGAGTAAGACTGAGACTCGCAGAGTTGCTAAAGCACTTTGTTCTAAAGCAGCCAAAGTTGGATTTACCACAACCGACATGCATGCTGCTTGCAAGTCAGATAATGCAGCTTGTGAGCATTTGAGGGAGTTTTTCAAAACAAACCAGAAAAGTCCCACATGTACATGTAAGCGTAGGATTCACAGAGATGTAGATTTACCAAACCTGAGAAAAATGTCCTTTTTGTGTTCGTTTAGCGTTTCATTTAGTCTCAGTCTTTTATTTCATTGGTTGTCAAGAACACACATTTCACACACTGTTAAGAACTTTGGTGTGTCAGTCAGAGCCTTTAGCCATTCATGCAGACAGCAAATTATAATTATGCTTGCCTCCAAGTTTTCAGAGCTGTATTTCTTTTGCTTTGGGCAGCTCACAAGTGAAGGAGACTGAAAATCAATCTGAATGAAAATTATGGTAATCATTCCTTCCTTTATTGCCATGGTACTCTTACCTACTATATAATAGTGCAGGGTTTTCTTGACTTTTAAACCTAAAACTTTAGTTTTATGAATCTATCGAAGCACACAACCTGCCTGACTCAGTTCAAAAATGAAAATGATGAATAGGGCTGTAACGATATCAGAGTCTCACTTCAGGATTATCAAGGCCATAAATGTATCATAATAATGTTTAATCCAAAAAGATTATGGAGTACTTGAAAATTCACAACAACACTGTGAGTAAAATCGAGAATAGGCCAGACAAGGATGGATTAGCATAATATATATGTTTATAAAAATGAAGTCTATAAGTTTGACTAATAAACTAACATGTCATCACACAGTTCAAATTATAACATCAGTTGCTGTGTAACTGGAATTTATTTGGAGACATTGCCTCATAGAAAAGATTTTGGTTTTGCTCTTAATGTTAATGTTAAAATAAAGTATAGTAATAAAGTCCCTAACCCACCTGCTATATAATGGCATGTATATCTTTTACAATCACTCAGCATTCCTGCACTTCTCACCATTGCACTACTGCCAAGACTTGTGTATCTATATGTTAAATGTCTAATATTTCATGTTAAATGTTCGTATGTAAAGGGCTAATTTTGACCAGAGACAGATTCCTTGTTTGTGTAAACATACTTGGCCTATAAAGCTTATTCTGATTCAGATTATTTAGATTTTTTTCTCTCATATTAAGTTTGCTTTATTTCCTACACTGTAAAACTATGCTTTTGTTTTGCAAAATGAGCTACTTCTGGAAGATACTAAGTTAAAGGACTGAATGAAAATGATTGAAGAAGTGTTGAAAAATATAAGTGTTCAATAAATTAGTAACCTGAAGAGGCAAAAGCTCTAACTTTGCATTTGGATTCAATAATCAAGGAACTTGAGACTGTCGTGATGAAGACTGTAGCCTCTGTATCTTATATGTTTACCAATCATCACCTCTAAGCTTAATCATTTGTGTGTGAACTTGAATAACATCGTCAACCACTAATTTAGACAACTGCCTTTCAAAGCAACGTTCAACATCATGCTGCTTTTCTGTAATCAGAAATTAGACTTCTTGGAATTTCTGTCATAACCAGAAAAAGCATGTTATAAAGTTTATCCAACGTTTGCACTGAAAAATCCCAAAAGGTCGTGTTAGTTCTTAGACTAATAACCCAAACACAGCTCAGAGGCTAATTTTAGTGACAGGATTAGCTGTATGACACATGGCAGACAGCCTGCCCACTGCTCACAGTGACTATGCCCCAAAATATGCAGAGTTTCTAAGCTTTATGTAATCTAAATAGTTGCATAATACAAAAAAGCACCCTTTCCAGTTGTCATGAATACAAAAAGAAAAAAAGTTAAGTTAAAAAAGCTGCAGGAGTGATGCAAGGTATTTCGCTCTTGTTAGTGTCCACCCTCTTGACTGTACTCTACGTTTCTCTTTCACTTTAAGACTGGTTTACTTCACCCCCTGATTTTTCTTTAATTCAGTTGACCTCCACTTTCACTGCCTTCTTTTTCCCTCTGCCTCTCTCAGCTCAGGTTGTTTTAGTCATTAGCTGACACGCTGATACCATCTTAGACACCTGTTCTCTCCTTCCAATGCTGCATCTCCTCGTTCTCTCTCTCTCTGCATCTTCCTTCCTTCTCTCTTCCTCCTCTCTTCCTCTTCCTTCTTATCTGTTCGACAGGTCTGGAGAGAACAAATTAGACCGGCTAAATTAAGCCGCGCGCACACAACTCTGGTCTAGCCGAAGGGAAGGTGCGGGAGTGCCCGTTTGTGTCTTTGTGTAAAAAAATGCGTAGACAACAACAACACACTAAGACACAGGAGTTCTTTGAAAAATTGGTAAAATGGATCAAATAAGACAAGCCCCAGGAGGTAGATTCTGTTTAAAATGTACAGAGAGGTGTGATTATTTAACCAAAGGAGACAAAATAAAGAAAAAAGGAATATCAGAAAAAAATCAGTCTTAAACAGAGAGATAACCAAGTTGGGCTAAACCCGGGGAAGTTGCTCTGTAATATAATTGGTTGAAGTCTTTAAAGCAGGCACAAACACACAGTTTGTGGTTGTGAGATTTCTCTTTTATGATATTATCGCTGGTTGTTGCCACAGAAACCAAGGACATATAGGTAATCTGTGTCTTTATTTTATCTCAACGTAATACAGACGCATATTCAATCCATGAGGTAAATATGTACTTGACTGAATAATGACAGGATTAGGAATGTTATGATGTTCCCCGTTTATCCACAGGGGGCGCCAAAATCAACACAAAGGGAAAGTTTTTCATCAGGCAAAGCTTCTGTGAGTAACTTTTAGTTTGCATTGACTTTGATTCTTATTTTTTGGGGTGTCCTCCTTGTCTTGTACGTTTCTCCAAAGTCTTGAACACAGTTTGTTTCTTGGTCAGATTTCTTTGTCCCCAAACTGTGATAAGTGATAGTAGCATTTCTACCCTTAATATTGCAATTTGTTATCAGAGTTAAGATAAAAAAGCTTATTTGAAAATTAAAACCTTATTAATTTTCAGAATATATTTGCGTTATTTGACTCAAAATTAAAATAACTATTCAATCATGTAATTTAAAGCTTTCAGTACGGCAGTGTAAATGACCATAAATGGTTTAAAAAGCTTTTCATATTTTTATAACATGCATGTGTTTTGCCATTTTCGTTACGATATAATTGTGTTTTTCCAAGCCTCACAAACAAGTTGGGTTGTGAGAGTTTGTGTGGTTTTAAATATTCTAAAAAATAATGAATAAACCAAATAACAATGATCTTATCCACTTAGTCATTGAAAAATTACAAATATTGAATTGCGCTGTTAAAAAATGTTTCCACAGAAGCTGTAATACAAAAAAAAAAGCTTTTCTTCTCTCCTTCTTTGTCCCGCCCTCATTTCCATTTCTGCTCGTGCCACTTTATTCCCCTCCATTTTCTCAGATAATAAGCCATGCCAACAGTTCAACTGTGTGTCTGTGATGCTACGCCTCTTCCTCTCTTTCTCCTCTGCTCTCATAGAAGATCAATCCATGAAACATCTTAAAATGCGCTCTGTCTCTCTCCATGGCTCTTTCTTTTCCCTCGTGATTATAGGGTGAGAGAACATCTTGGAATCAGAGTCTCTCTTTCTTCTTTCCTTTTCCTGACAGAATGACAAAGCTAATCTCCTTATCTGTTTTTTGACAGCCTTTAAGAGACCTCTCTCTCATCCTCTATCCTCCCCTCATCCCCCATAAGTCTGCCTCTCCTCTGCTCTCGAGTGGTCGGGCCAGAAAAGAAAAGTTGTCTAACATATTTTGGCATTTTACCACTAGTGTTACTAGATCTTCTATCTTCCCCCGATCTATCTCCCTCCTCTCATCCTTCCATCCCTCACTTTTATGACCAAGTATTGGTACAAGAGTGAGGAAGCATTTTATCTAAGCCTCGTGCTACAAAAAATAATAAATAACATTGAGTCATGTCCCAGAAAACTGCGTGAGAGTGTTGTAAAGTGTGTTTGTCCGAGTGAAATACTCACCAGCAGTGAATAGTAGACTTTGAATCCCGGCTTAGCAACAAAGTAGTCATCAGACTTGAAGGTGACCCTGAGCGTGTTGGTTTTGGAGTTGAGGCTGGGTGGAGCCTTCTGCCCACACCAGCGACCCCAAATTATAGTGCTGGTCTCTGATTGGTCCTCTACTTCCACAAAGTCATACCTGGAGTGAGATGGAGAGAGGAGAGGAGGTGGCGGGTAAAGATTAAGGACTCAAAATCTTCCAAGAAAACACAAAAGGTTAGACTTTGAATCCTGAGTGGATGGAGGAGTTTTCTTTTCCCTGTCTACATCCAAAGCCAGAAAGTTTGATCTTATTTTAGTCATTTTAATCTTTTGTTAAATGAAAAATCTCAATTATAATGTCACTGCCGCTGTCTGGGAACTTTGTGACACTTTAAAAACAATAGAGACAAAAGCAGAGTGCAACATGGTAACTAAAACTGTCTACTGGTTCATCACAATTTCCATTTCTGTCTGATCAGTTTTAATTCAAATAAGACTTTGACATTTAAATAAGTAATCTCATTTGTTTTGCTGCTAATAATTAAATGTGAAAATACTGAAGGGACTCGTAACACTGTTTAAACCTTCAATCCATCATTTACAAATCCATAAAGCTTTATTAATGCAAATATACATAAATAAAAGGCTTTATTGAGTTCTTAATTGCACATTTAAATTTGTACTTTACTAAACGCACCAGAGTCGTTCTCTAAGTATTGATGACACATTTTTCCATTTGAGAATTATAGAAATTGTGACTTCTTGTGATACACTGATGGAGTGCTCTGTGGTTGTTTATGACTGGATGATGTTGTGGGAGTTACAATATTGGACACCCAGAATTTTAAAGATACTCTAACCCCTGATTTCCACCCCATCCGGAACAGCTCCAATCCGGAACGGCAGCAATTTTTGCTGTCCACCAATTCCTACCGGATCCGTTTGTTAGGCGAATTTTGTGGTGGTCATCACGAGAACTCACAAGAACCCACAGATTCACGTGCAATCGTGCGATAATAAGTTGTCGCTATAAAGACAGCCACATAACCATAAAAGCAGTAGATTGTGTCCTTCCAGAGGAGGAAATCCACCTCTAAAATCAGCATCTTCTCATGCATGGTGTAATTGAGGTGTAATGCTGTCTTAACATTTCACTTGTTCGTCCCCGCCTGTTTGCATGGTGTGAAATACGATCAGCCTGAAACATGTTTTATTTTGAAAAGAAACTGGATGATTTATTTTGTGTCTGTGCCTGACTTCCTTCCTGGCGTGGGTTAATCTGTGCTGAATTTATCTGGCATGCTCCGGCATTGGAAAAAATAGAACTCTTGCGATCAGCTGCAGAGTCCGGTGATCCACAGCGGAACGGAAAGAAGCCGGTGGAAATTGACACATTAACTTGAATGGTTACAGTCAGTGGTGGTCGGCGGATACAGCCTTACCGGATGCGGTTGAAATTGGGGGTTATTGGTTTTGCATACAATCACAGGGGGTTGTGTTCATTGCTTTACATCTCATTACAAAAAAGACATGTTAGATCAGCTAGCTGGCCTATTGTCATGCTTTAAAAGTTGTTTTTTTAATAACTTGAATAATGTTACAGCCATCAACCCGCTGGTCCAAAACTGACTCCATCAATCAAGCAAATTCAAACCCAATGTGTAAACGAATACGCACACCTTTAATGCAACAAAATAGATGTGAAAAACAAGTTTCTGTTACTTTTTTTGTCTTTCTTCGTCTAAATCTCTTCTCTCCTTTTTTCCCCTCTGCGGGCTCCCCATTGTCTTTTCAGCAAAGTGCTTACAAAGACGGCTGAGTTGCATTTAAGGATTAAAAAGTCTGTTTTCTCTCCTAAACCTTCAAGGACAAACTTCCTACCCTTCTTGCCAAATCTGTCTCAAAGTGATTCCATCCCCTAAATATTTTATATACTTTCCCCATACATCCTTGAAATCACAGTATATTGTTGCTATATTAATATGCATACCCTGTGAAATGTTTTTTTTTTTCTCCTTTATAAAGCAGCTATTCTACGCCCTTTCAACTTGACTCGTACTTGACAAACTTTTCCTCTCCTCTTCGTGACTTGAAGCTGTCCTTCCCATCAGTTTCTATTCCGCACTCTTTTATCACTTTTACTTTCATTTGACTTTTCCTATTTGAGCTGCTTTAAAATCATTGATGCCTCCCTTCTTTCCTCCATTCAGGCATCAGGTTCTTATCATCTTTTTGAATTTCTTATTTGCCTCCCTGCTAGATATCTTTCTTTTTTATCTTTCTGGAGATTTACCTGCAGACCCCATTCTCTGCCTCCTCCAGGCCAAAGTGTCCGTCAAACTCCAGGTGTATGCGGCTCCCTGGCGGCGACAGCAGTTTCCATGACAACAGCAGGTTGCGAGGGTAAGCATTGGGGTAGCGTGGGCTTTGTATGACCCCACCCAGTGCCGTGACTGTGATGTTATCCTCCTTGCGGTACAAGTCTGTGATGAGGTGATAGTTGTCTATAAGTGGTTACAACTGATTGGTGAGTTAGTCCAGTTTTCAATGAGCACAAGCAAAGCAGCGTTTTCACAGACATTAAAAGACGACACACATAAAGACATGATAGAAGAACAAAAACATTCAGACAAGCAGCATCCAAAACAAATGTGACATTTCAGTCCAACAATGATAGAGAAGTACTTTCATTTCCAGTTCCAACGAAACTTTCAACAACATTCATGAACACAAAATTTAATCGAGTAGTTTGACATCTCTGCAAAAACACTGATTCAGATTCATGTCACATTTTCTTTGAGGATGAAACAAGAAAAATCTATCTTTGGATGAAGAGGAAATAACACTAATTCAAACTGCCCTGTCCCTGATAAAGTTATGAAAGTACTGAGAAACCGGCTCAAATGTTCGAGGGATCCACAGGAGTATGCATTTTTTTCCTGATTGTTATCAATATCAGGTTTATTTTGAACAAACTGGACTGACCATAGATTGACCTGTTGGCTGAAGTGAAAAAAAAGGAATCATCAAAACTAAAAAGAAAGGATAGGAAATGTCTGGAGACCAAAGGTTTGGAATCAAAAAAGATGACAACTTGACTAGACTGTATTAAAATTCGGCTGTGCTTCTCTGTAAAATATAACATCCAAAACATGATGGGTTTTCTTAAGATGCACCAATGTGGTTTCATAAAGTTTAGTCGTTAGTGCATTACTGTGTTAAAAATGAAAAAAAAAATAATATATAAATAAATAATAAATAAAACAAAAACTCTGCACCTGAGTTTCTTTACTATTCCACAAACACACACTATCACACATGAAGCAATAAAGTTACAAAGAAATTTATGAGAAAACTCATGATTTTGACTCCAGTTTGCCTGTGTGTTACTTTAAAGGGAGACTCCAGCTGGCAGCACTAAAACAAGGAATGTGGAGCATCTGGTCAACCTAAACTTTATTACATGTTTCATATATTATTCAGTATTCAATTTTTAGCGCAATATTGAAATTACTATCAGGATCGACTGTGCAAGAAACTATCATTCATCTCTTGAATAACACTTCACAAAATGACCATACTGATAAACATGATTTATTATACTTGTAGAAATTTAAATATTACCTGTAACAACTCCTCTCTCAATAAAATTACCCAATCAATGTCACAATTTTAGTGGCTGATGCTAATACCAATAACAAGGGAACAGGTTGGCCAATGGCTTATATAAAGGCCAATTTCACACTATTGATCGAAGTACGTTATCTTGCCACTACAGATTCCTGGATTTCTGTCCAGCTAACCAAAGATATCAAAGTATTGAGGTCAAAATAGGAAAAAGGCAACGTGGAAATACATTTTTCTATGCACACAGAAACCTAATGATCGTAACAAGTAACATGTTTTAGATGGATTTTTAGTCAGTTTATGAAAAAAACTAGATAAATCCATCAATTTATGCATTTTGATCTTAGGACATAGGTGATTTTTCTGTAAAAAGCTATAATATAATGCATTATTGACAGGATTCATATTAAACTCAAGCCAGTAGTTTTTTTTTTAATCTGATATGCTCTCATTTAGGTTGGGAAAATGAGTTCTTTTTGGCTGACTGATTAATCAATCCAGCTTGAAATATTTCAACTTTATACTTGTATCATTACAGTATAATCATGACACGAATCTTGTTAGTTTGTTTCTTTTGTGTGATTAATTTGAAGCTTTTATTTAACAATTTTGTTCTTGTAATATTATAACTTGACTCCCTTGATGTATCCTTATCATCCGATGTACACAACTGCAAAAAAAGAGGATCACAGCAAAATACTAACTTTGCTTTGGTAACTTTTAATTGTCATGCACTCTTCTTATTAGCTGAACCAACTTCTTCCTCGAACTCTAATGGCGGTAATGAGAGTCGTCTTTGTAATATAATTGCTCATCAGTACTGATAAACATCATAATCACACCCCTCTAAATTTCTCATCCTGAATAATCAATGCACTCATAAAACTGATTTTGATTTAAAAAAACAAAAACCCCCCACAAAACTCATTAATTGCTTTAATCAGTTAATTGGCAACTTAGAAAAATTGTGAAATCCAAAAAGCCCTGACACGTGGAAACACACCTTAAGGTCAGGCTGTGTGCTGAAGCCGGCTGACAGAGCTGTATTTTCTAAGGGGTATGTACTTTTTGTCAGAGTGAGAGAGTTGAATGCATAATCAAGGCACCTCAGTATGTTCCCCTGGGAGATGATGATGATGATGAAGCTTTGGCCTTCTCCTCCTCCTCTTTGCTGCAAACTCTACTTAATATCACCTCCTTTCCTCTCCCCTCCTTTCCTTCCTTCTCCTTCTTTCCTCTCTTTACTTTGCCCTTCTTTGCTTTAGTCAGTAATTCTGTCTCATTGGCCATTCTGCAGTCCTCACCAGTCATAACCTCTGCCAAATTTGACTCTGTTAATTAACACTGCACCTACAGTAAGAGTGTGTGAGTGTGTGTACATGCATTTGGATATGAGTGCGTACTGCTTGTGAGCACTTATGCTTGTGTTAATGTGAATGCATTTGCATTTGGTCGAGTATGAGTGGGTGGTTGTGTTTGTGTGTGTGCCTATGTGCGTGTATGTGTGTGTATTGGTGCAGAGTTTGTTAGTAAAGGAATTCTTCCACTCTGCTGATCAGAAGCTTCACTGTGTGGGTCCATTCAGTCATAAAAGTGCTTATGTGTCTGAAACTTTTACCCTGTAAGGTCACAAGGGAGCCATGTGTGTGTTTGTGTGTGGATGTGTTTGTGGGTCTTTCGTGTTCACGTATATTCACAAGGGGATTTATGTGCATATATGTGTTATGATTGCTATACCTTGCATCTAGGGCAGGGATTTCAAAGTACACAGCATTTGACCTCAAGAACTATTTCATTTGTTGTGTTAAATTGTTCAAGATCAAAAATATGAAAAGCCTCTCTACAGCATTGGTATTTTGCTTTTTCACAACAGATACTCATACTGTATATAACCAAAAGTAAAAAAGGTGACACTTATTTACTAAAATGTGCATCAAATAAAATGAAAATACTGTATTTGTCTTAATGGCCACACTTTCTGTTGACATCCTTGTAATGAGCATTGATTGATAGTTAATTAGTCACTTTTAAGACCTTAAAAATGCTTATAAACATTAATAAGTGTGAAAAAGTGTGAATAAGACAAAGCCAATATATTCATAATTGCTTATAGGCTCTTAATAGAAACTTGTTAACAGTTCATATACTTGTCAGTAACATTAATAGACTGTTCATCAACATCAACCCGGCTTCATGAGGGTTAATCTAAGATAAATTCCTTCTTTCTTTAAGTTTTAAAGCATGTTTGAGATTAACTGGATTTGTATTTCAGTCTTTGGTGGTTCCACTCTGGGAAAGTTTTCACTAATTTAAGCCCAAACAAATTAAATAAAGCTCAACAGATGCACTTTAAATGTAAGATACATAGCTGTTGGATCTGGATTTCTCACAGTCTACCTTTCTGGTCCTCATTAGCAGCCACTTCCAGACTCTTGACACTCTGCACCTCCTACCCCCCGGAGCACCTTTTCTTGGTTGTGATCCAACGTGCTGCACATTCACCCCGCCTGGCACCCTCCTCCCAGTCCTGCCGTTTATCTCCACTTTGCTCATCAATCTCGAGTTTCTTACATATTATATATTCTTACATATTGCACAAACATATGCATACACCAATTATTTTATTTTAGCTATCAGTTTGCTTGCTGTTAGTTTTCTGCCTCAGGACCTTGTCTCTTTTCCTCGTTTGAAAACTATCTTTGTTGCGGACCTATTTTCACTTTTGCTTGACCACCTGAAACCTTTAATTAAACACTCGGTCCCTGAATTGCATTATTTAGCATGAGATATTTGTTTATGAGTCCCTTCTCTTTCCCTCTTTCCCCAAGTTGCAAAAGTTTGGCAGAAATTGTGGCCGGACAAAACTTGATTTGAACAGGCAGAAACTTTGTACAGAACTAGGCTAATGATTAAAAGCCATGTGCCTCAACCAGATCGTCCATTAAATTTGGAATGAGGAACAGACAGATATAGATACAGTTATGCTGTGTTCCAGTTGTACTCGGAAGTCGGAATTTCCAAGCTCCGAGTCAGAAATTCATCTCGGAATGTCAGACGATCCTCACCAATCCCGATTTGACAAAGTCATAATCCAAGATGGCTGCGCAGTGCATTAACAGTAAAGAGTAACAGTGAAATGTTTTATTAGCACTTCTGTTTTGTTATTGTGAAATTAAATAAGTGGTTTATGTTCTACTGCCCAACGGCTACCTGTGAACACGGTGCTATGGTGTTTGTAAGAGTAAAATACTGTTATGCCTTGTTTACAAATGGTATAACTAACAACTAACAACAGTTGACAAGGGCTAATGACAACTGACAATTGTAAATGACAGCTAAAAATGACTAACTGTAGGCGTCCATCTTGGTTTTTTGACTTGTTAACTAAAACGTAGTCAACTCGGTAGTAACGTCATTCTCTGCTCCGAAATCCGACTTCCAACGAAACTGGAACGCAGCATAAGAATGGCATATCATCCTATATATAAAGCTTGCATGATTTTTAGATTTGTAATGTCTGGCCTAACGTCCCACACTGCTGAGATATACAACTGAAGGAGTAGAGGAACGGGAACATCTGTTTCAGAAAATCCTTTTTTTTTCAGCTTGAGACGACACAACAGACATCTCCGGTGTTTGTTTGTCCCAGTGAAGAGATCCGTCTTTTCAAAATATTCTTGCTTTTTATTGACTTGCTGTTGGCCTCTACCACTTCCTGTGTGTGTATGTGTATGCATATGCTTGTGCAATTATGGCTCTATGAAAGCGGATGTAGTACTGTGGTGCATTTATTAACATGTGCCCATCCATGCATGCTGGTTTGTGTGAAGGGGTGAAGTGTGCTGGAGGCAGAAAGCATTAAGAAGAATGAAGACCCCAAATTGGGACTATATGTAAATTTAATCAGGCAGCACCAGGCTCTTTAAGATGCAGTTTCCCAGTGACACCATTGACCTTGCTATAAATCATGCAGTGATGTCAATGATTCCTTTGCAAATTCATGCAAATGAAACAAGAAAAGAAAGAGGTTTCTGTTTAATATCCAGTCCAGAGAGTAGACAGTGGTGGCTTCGTAACCCAGGCCCCGGTTAAAGGAACTGAGTCATTTTTTTTTTTTTCTAACTCTCCGTAATGCTTCATGTAAGATTCAACATGAAACATGATTATGCTGACTTTATGCTTTGTTGCTTTTGTATTTTTATGGTGTTTATCACTATAAACATACAGTCAACCCAAATTACAGTTTGAGCTGAAATTGATTAAATCAGCCTCTCTTCATGCTTCACACTTTCAGACCTTCACTAGGAGCAAAGATCCCCAAAATAAGAAATCTGGGATACAACTGAAGAACGTAATGAAAGAAACCGTGCTTTTTTAATTTTTTGGTTCATAGACTTTACACAATCAATATCTTTGCAAAACTTTAAAATATTTAAATGATCAACACTGGATCCATCTGTTTTAATGTGTTCAACTTTTGGAGAAGACTTTATAATCAGGGGATTCTGTGTAGCATATAAAACTTATGTATTTGATATTAATATAACGACAGCACATCAGCATCAAATCCTGCAGAGTCAGTACTTCAGCCCTAGAGTTTAATTAGCAGGGGTACAAGACCAGTAAGCGTTTTAAAAAAAGAAAGTGTCACCATCCAAACTATCTCAGCACAGGATGGGCACAGGATGAGTGAAATATGTGAAATTAGGAGAGGCTGTTACTTGGCTAAACCATGCATGTCAGGACATTTTCTGCCAGCAAATCGCCTCCAAACATGCTGCCAAGAAAAGTTTCAGTTTAATTTGTTCCTGTACTTTCTTGTTTCTCTCTTCTTCTCTGCCGCCTTTTAACTTGCTTGGAACATCAGAAAATGTTTCCGGTTACAAGCAAAATTTCACAAACAATAAATACAACTGCTGAAGTTACTTCAAATCAGATCTAAAGTCAGGATGGTAAGGAGAGCCTTATTGTGTAGTCGTTTTTGACATTTTCTAAGAATTTTCTCTGAAAGTTGAGACTAGATTTTTGTAAAGACCAAAGTTATTCACAAAGTGTTTTAGTCCTTAAGAGAGCTACAAAGGTGGAAAACTGTAAGGAGCAGGATAACACCAACGGTCTCTTATCATGTGGGGTGAAGTGCGAGTGCACATCACACATTCATGTATTGATCTCTGATTCCCACCATGGTCAGTCTGCCTGTGTGTGGGAAAAACTGCTTTAATGCCCAGCATGAAAGAAGGCTTCAGTGCAGAGGGCACTTTTTACATGTTGTATACAGAGATGATAAATAAAGGGCAAACACTTTTACATATTTATTTGTTATTTTTTTGAGTTTTGCTGTTTCACACTGTGGCCTATTTTGTCAGACGAAGGCGAATGAATACTTGAATATGTAGATTGGGGTGTCACAATTTCAGTGTTTTTTTCAAAATCGACAAGAATACGTCATGGTCTCGATAATCGAAATTAAAGAGAGGATCAAGATCCCCTCCCTCCACATCTGAGAGGTGTGCAACACAGAAGCAAATGACAACGCGGCACATTGTAGCCGACGTGAACCTGTGTGAGTTTTCATTTTTGTTGCTGTTACGTTTGCTTTTGTTGCTTTCACTTCACTTAAAACAAGATTGTTAAATAAATTATATAAATTTGACCATTAGTGCCTAATGTGATACATTACACAAGAATAATGGAAATTGCATCACTTGTATGTAGCCTATCTTTTGAGATAAGATTTACTGTACAAAAAGTAATGGAATAAAACCAATGATCGTAGACTAGACTAGTCTAAAAATGGCACAGGCCTCTGTGCTGTAAGAAAAAGAATCTAGAATCGAATTGAATTGTGACCCTAAAATCAAAAATTCAATCGAATTGAGGATTTGTAGAATAGTGACACCCCTAATATAGATTTAGATACTGGATTCAATATATATTCATGGATATTAGTCTTATAATAGAAATCTTTATTGCAGTTGGAGTAGATTAAACTATTTTGGGTGCATCTTCCAAGAAAATCTGCACCCTTGGCCACCAGCCTGACACACCTCCTTGATTTAAACACACAAACAAATTGTACACACAATGACTAACACTTGCAATTAAGCATTCAGCCTCCTGATTTGACAACTAAACAACCGTGACAATAATTTTGCGTGACTGTGTGATGTGTGTGTGTGTGTGTTCCTGTTGTGCGTGGGATCTATTAAATTGCGCTTGTGGGAATGCCAGGGATACGTTCTTCAGTGTGTGTGCGTGTGTACGTGCGCAAGGATGCGTGTCTTCTGGGACATATGTGGGTAAAGTCTCGCTAATTAAATTTGGCTCCACCACCTCCAGTGCCAGGGTGTGATGTTCTTCACTGCTCTGAGATCTATTTCTGATCCAAGTGCCAATCACACTCTGATCACCCAGCAACCAGTGCATCAGAGACCCCAAACTACACCAGATCTGTGGCAAAAGTAATAAACTCACAAGAAAATAATTCATGATCAAAGTAAAAGATAACATTTTAAATTTCTCTCTTGATAAAAACTTGATTTTTGTTGAACTCTCGGGTAAGAAAATATCCACATGACATTAAAAACTCCCTCTTTTTTTTCATCTAAGTCTGTACTCAGTGCAAAGCAGAAGCTATTTTTCTTGAGTGACAGTGTGGATATGATACTTTCTCACCCAGAGGCACACTCCCACAGGACATTACCTATAACAAGGCAACCCCATTTCCTATGTCTGCCATCCCGCGTCTAACATATCCTGTCTGACTTTCATCTTCTCAAAATGAATTCTCATAAGCCCCAACACTAGCTAACAGGACACACATCACACTTTCACTTTCAGCTGTGGAAAATTCCCCAGAGATGTGAAATGCTCAGTAACATTCATACTTTCTGTTTGAAACAGCAGGTGCTTTAAACAGAAACAGTCATGGGTAAGGGTTTGTCTTTCTGAGGGGTTAAACAGTTTGAGGAATTTTATCAGTAATGATAACCAAGAAACACTCCCACCATGAATCATAATGTAAGACGTTTGGTATTTTGTAGGCTATACTTTCTGTCTTAGGGAGAATGGTTTCCATTCGTATCTAGAGCACCTGTAAATCAGATAGCTTCACTGGAAAGAGGGGTAAAAAAAAAGTGGTTTTAAGTCAAGATAAGGAAACCAACCAACCATCACGCAGCTCTGTTATTAAATACTTGATTCTTATTGGTTGAAACCTCATACCAATATTTTTCTGGTGATATTAGAAGCAGCAGGATCTAACATTATATAGTGAGTAGGGCTGGGCGATATGGCCGATAACGATAAATGGACGATAGCTACTCCACAAGCTGCTCACCCCCTCCCACATTAACTTCGTCTACTTGAGCCACCGCTCCAGCCGCTACAACTTTTGAACCGTCCTCCATCTCCTCACCTGTCTTTCCCTCTTTGTTACAGACTGGATGGGGTGGAGTCACATCTCTGACATAGGACATGAGACCATAGCCTACCTACACACATCCAAAACCAACTTTTATTGATTTATTTAATTTTTTGACACCGAATATACCGATATGGGCAAAATGACGTTGGATATTGCCATAAATTTTGGTATCGGTAAATTTTCGGTTTCTCACCCAGCCCTAATTGTGAGTACATTTCTAAGTTGCCTGTTGCTACAAAGTGACTCAGACCATAAATGGTTGTGATTGCAGCAAATAATGTGAGTAGAATGAGGACAGAGGTCGTAGTTAAGACTTCTGCAGCTGTTCCATATGCTCTCTCTAACATTCTCTTCAGCTGAATGTGGATTTCAGCGTCTTGGCGAGCTAAATTCCACATTTTTTGTCAAGTTGTTTATAGATACAGAGAAAAAACAAGAGTAATTGTTGGCAATATCTTTGCTTTCTGTAGCAGTTTCTGTCTGGGCGATTTACTACTTGTCTGGAAAACAAAATAAGTGTAAGACATGAGTGTTTCCCCAATATGTAGCTATTGCTTTACAAGAGGAAAAATTAAATTTCAGGAATAGAGAGTAAAAGCAATTAATCTGTCTGAATTTGGCAGATAGGCTCCTAAAAACATCTGACATGTTGTGGGAAATAGAAGACTATTTAATAAAGCTGTTTTGGCATGCTCCATAGATTTTCATGCAGCCAACTCTATTCACATTGGGATTTACTCCTCTAGTAAACAAAAATGGAATTCTAGGTGGATGCTGTAAGCCAATTTGACTTTGGCATGAATGAAACCTGGGAAGAGGCTCAGCAAATAGTCTGCAAGAGTATTTACCTTTAAAAAATGGGAATCTCAATATTTTTCATCATTATAAAAAAAATCATATTTTCATCTCTAACCTTCTGCCGCCATACCCAGCTATCTGCTTAGCTGTTTATTCACCTGTGTTTGGACACGGGGTGTAAAACATGGCCCATTAGCAGCTAAACTGCTGGTAAACACTGCATGAGCACGCGTGTCCTTCAGTGTGTGTTTGTGTGCGTGAGTGTAATTGTGTTTATGCCATCGGTTGTTTATGCACACTCTGTGGGTTTGTACATGCACATCTGTTTGTCGCTACATATGGGTCTCTGTGTGTGTGCGTGTTCTCCTTTGTAGTGTGTATTGGTTGTTGGTGCAGAAAGCTGTATGTCCCCCCCCTAAGAGTATTTCCACCCATGAGAAATAACCAGAGCCTTTTCCATCTGGCTAAATGCAAGCTTAAGGCCTGTGTGTGTGCGTGTGTGTGCGTGCGTGTGTGCTCTGTGTGTTTCTGTGTGCATGTGTGTGTGTCTGCAGCACTGTGCTGGCTTCACTGTTTTGCCACTCTCTCATGACAAATCAGCTTTAAATATTCTCCCTTGTTTCCCAGTCACACCCACACGAGCATAGGGCACGAAAAATAGAAACACACACACACACACACACACACACTCACTCAAACACACTTAAGCCCAGGAGGTGATCGCTACATGCCGAGGGGTGTCAGCTTTGGTCGGTGTCGGCTTGTGTCCCACATTTCCCCGCCTCCCTCTGTTCCCTCCACCTTATCTCTACCTTTTTTCTCTCTTTGACCATAACAGGAACACTAAAGCTCTAATTTCTCTCTCTTATCTCATTTGTGCCACAAACGCCTGATTTACACTCTTCCCCCTTTAAACTCTTTCAAACATTGGCCACCGGGGTTTGACTCGGTGGAAAAAGTGAAAAACATTGTATGCCACCATCCCTCCCGTCCTTTCCCTCCATCAGATAACCTCTGTATCTCTTCTTTATATTTATCAGTTTGGAGCAGCTGCATCTTTACCGCTCAAACCAATTTACTCCCATCACTTTATTTTATGCAAATAGACTCCATGTTTATTTAAGTCAGAGTAAAAGTGTGGGGAATTGGGATTCTGAAGTGGAACGACGGCATGAAGAGGGCAGAATATAAAATGACTAGACAGGAGAAACCTTTCAGTTTAACTATCAAAGTGATGATCAAGAAGCAAAGCACATGCTTGAAGAATGTCCAGTGCATTAGGCTGGCCACATGGGCATTCAACTGAGAGTTGCATATGTGCTGAGGAAGCTGGGGTGAACATATACATGAATTATAGAAGGCTGCAGGCCTATGTATATAATTATAGAAAAGAGCACGGTACATGCATTATATCCCTTCAGTTGGACACAACATAGCTGCTGCATTAGTTTGATGGCCCTATAGTTGTGGTCAGACCAGTATTATTAACTGAGTATAGATTTCCATGTGGGCTGCTTGAAAATAAGTCCCTTAAGTACAAATACAAGAATGATCAAGATGAATATATTCTCTTTTTAAGTTTAACTGTTATAAAGAAACTGCAGTTTCAAACAGCAATTTAAGTGTGATGTTCAATGAGAAAAAAAAAAACAAGGCATTGGATTGAGTCTTTTTTTATTGTAATGGTAACTTCTTATTTCCATTGCCAGGTGGTCAGGGGGGTGTAGTCAATCAATCAATCAAATCAATCAAATTTTATTTATATAGCGCCAATTCACAACAGTCGTCATCTCAAGACGCTTTTCAAAGAACAAGAGCAGGTCTGGACCACACTCATTGTTTGATGATCAAGAACCAACCTAAGATGGGTTTTGGCCCATCTCAACTAACATGAGTGACAGTGGCGAGGAAAAACTTCCTTTTAACAGGCAGAAACCTTGGGCAGGACCAGATTCATGTTAGACAGCCACCATGCCGCTGCTGGGTTGGGGAGGAATGTAGAGAGATGGAGGGAGAGAGAGGAGAGAGAGAAGAGGGGAGAGGGAGAGAGAGAGAACAAGATAAGGGGAAGGAGTAGTGTTCATGTGTTCACATAAAGACAATGGCTTTTGGTTCAGCCCATTCAGTGATTTCCACTGCAAAGTCTGTTTTTTATGGATCAAAGGACCTAAGATCACAGCCATCTAGTGTTTGTTTTTTGGCTTTTTCTCTGTAGTTAAAAGGTTCATCCAGGTTCTACGAATGGTTTGCACTATAAGAGATGAAATGTCCAACTTCTTTGCAAACCCTCTATTAAAAAACTCAAAAATTGATGAACTTGTTGCTTTTACCGTCTCTTACAGTGGTGAACCTCTTCTCATTTCTACTTGAGTGACTCAGTCTCTGGAATTCTTCCCCTGCTTTTTTATGCTGTCATGTCACTCATCTGATGCATACCCTTTTTAGTTAGAAGTTATTCCAGTTTTTTTAGCGTTGCAAACTTGCAAACTCAGTGTTTTGTTGTCCATGTCCCAGTTTTGACAGATATTGCTGGCGTAAGATTTGATATGAGAATAGTTGTCAGACAACAATAAATCTTATTTTGAACTATAAAAAAGATTTGAAAGGTTTCCGAATTGTCACAATCTGTTTTATTTTTCACATTTGACGCCTTGACTGGGCTATTTTTTAGAATTGGAGTTTTAAAATGAACACTAAATTGTTGAAATGACTTTTGTGGAGAAATGAATAAGCTGGTTGAAGGGAAGAAAGCAGCATTTTAAAAATAACATCTGCGACACAGGAATGGGATGTGCTAGTGTTGCTATTAAACAGTAAAACTTGCAAAAGGTCTCCTGGCAACAATAGTCTTCAACGTTTAGCCATCCACTGTCAGCTCCTAGTTCTGAATCCTCTTAGTCTATTATTTTAGTTTGTGACATGAGCAAACCAAGAGCTGGCACAATAGCTACGAGCTGAAAGGGTGAAAGGGAGCATATCTCCACCCACCATAGCAGAGGCCAGAGGCAGTATACTTAACAGTAACCCCCAATTTCCACTGCATCTGGAACTGCTACAAAAGGCCGTATCCACCTATTGCAGCTGATCGTAATCATTGAATTTAATGTGTCGATTTCCACCAGCTTCTTTCCATCCTGCTGTAGATCGCCAGACTCCACAGCTGATCGCAAGAGTTTTATTTTTTCCGGATGCCGGAGCATGCCGGATAAATTCAGCACAGATTAACCTGTGCTGGAAAGGAAGCCTGGCACAGACACAAAATAAATCATCTGACTTCTTTTCAAAATAAAACCCTCTGTGTTTCAGGCGGATTGTATTTCACACCATGCACACTGGAAGGAACAAACAAGTGAAAGGTTTTCAGACAACATTTCACCCCAATGACACCATGGATGAGCAGATGCTGATTCTAAAAGTCTAAAAGTGGATTTCCTCCTCTGCGAGGACACAATCTACTGCTTATATGGTGATGTGGCTGTCTTTATAAAGACAACTTGTTATCGCGCGATTCCGCAGGAATCGGCAGGTTTTTGTGAGTTCTCGCGATTCCCGCTGTCTGTAATCCTGACCTGTTGGAAATTGGCGGATGGTGAATATCGCTGCCGTTTCAGATTGGAACCGTTATGGATACGGTGGAAATTGGGGGTAAATCGATTCCCACCAAGTGCTTTAAGATTGGAATAAGGACAGCAGTCCATTCAAAATGCCTATTTCAGCTAAAACAGTAGCTCAACTTAACTGTGCATGCCTAAATACTGAATGTGGACACTGAAATTAAAAATGAGGATAATAATGAGTGATGCCAAGATGCTGGTTGTAAGATAAGACACCTATAGCATCTCCATATCTTATCTCCTCCATATCTGTCACCTATATCAAAGCTGTTTGAAAAGATGGTATCATATTGCCCAAACACAGGATAAAATCCTTCAAAAAAAGCCTTAACACACACTTTAAACTTTCACCACCAATACCTACTGAAAGTAAACACTAAGACTAAGCCCAGGATAAAGTCAAGCAGGAAGAGAGCAAGCATTTGCTCTGGTTCTCCCTCTGTCACGACTGTCTCTTTTGAAGTAACTCTTTAAAATCTATTCTCCTGTCAACTTCACTTTTTAAGGTATTCTGGTTCAATGTTTTCAGTGTGCGAGTGTCAGGGTGCATGGGTGAAGTGTGTGTGCTTTCGCGGCACCTAACTGTTTAAAGATTTCGTGCAAGTGCATGTGTGTGTGTGTGTGTGAGCGGGAAAGAGTGTGTGCATATTCGTTTGAAGCCGCCACAAAGGAATGTCCTGTGACACGGACAGAGGAGGTTAGACAAACATCCACAGACGTGACCAAAACAGCTTACTGAGCTCACTCACTTCAAAATGACTTCACACAACTTAGTGCAGACAAGTGAGAGTGGGAGCACAGACAGACACAAAGATAGAAAAAGTTAAAGTGAAGGAGAAGAAAGGGGGAGAATCTGGAATGAAAATGAGCAGAGATAGATAAAAGAGGCGTGAATGAGAGAGAGAGGAGGAGGCTGTGATTGAGAGAGGGAGAGGAGGACAGAGAGAGGAGTGAAAACTAGACAGAAAATAAATGTAGCGACAGGACCAAAAGAGAGAAAAGAAAGAGAACATTGTCCCAGCTGCTGTACTGTGAAAAGGACAACCAAAGTCCAAAAAACCCCAAGATACCTCAGCACATCAAACACTGTGTAAGCTGCATTTCTGACTCACACTCAGAGGAAAGGAGATAATAAACGCTTTGTGAGCATCTGAGTTAGGAGCAGACCAGTGTGAGGGCATCAACTGCTTTGTTGTGGTGTTTGCCTGATTTGTGCTAATTCATCAGTATTTTGCCTTTGTGGTCGACTTCAAAGGTATAAACAAAGAAGAGGTACATTACCAGAAAAAACTGTGACTCGCATTGCATTAAATTTTTTTCTTTGGTACTGGAGCTTTTTAGCTGGTCTTACATCTTCAACAGCGAGCCTCTGTGGCCCTTCTGGAGCTCTCATTAGCATTAGCATCCACTTAGCTTCTTGGAGAGCCTCTCAGGCATGTATGATTCAACACCTGTTTAAGGGGACAAATTAGACTAATGGGTACAAAGAAAAAGGGATGAGCCGCACTCTGCCTACTAGGCTGGAAAAATCAGTGTTTGAAGCTTTAAAAAAGATTATCTCCAATTTTTGCATCATTCAACTTTTTACTCACATCAGACCGTGAATATTTAAGCAGACATCAAAGATAATGTGTCATAAATAACTTGAAAAGGGATGAAACAGCTGTGCCTTTCTTAAGGCTCTCCTGTAGTACAACTCTGTCTTGACTTTAGAGATTACTTTTTCACTTTTCTCTCCTCTTTTTCTTTATATTGAAGCTGTAGCAAAAAAGAACTGCACATGTACTGTTTTAGCATGGATATGACACAGGTCACTGTCCTGAAAATACAACTTTAAAAAGTGGAATTTCCTCATATTTGGGTTACATGTAAATATTTGTTACAACAAGATATCTACTTGTATGTCAAGCAGTTACTCACTATCACACCAAGCATTTTTTGATCTAAAAGAGGTCTAATAGATGTCTAAATGTAGCCTAGATGATTGGTCTAAAATCAGGCTACCACAGGTCTAAAGTTGAAGTTTTTTAAACGTCTAAATTTAGACCAGGTTTAAATCTGGGCTATAGCTATACTACACTGTATATTGCTCAATAGCTATCATAATTATTTTGGTTAACTACTTGGAGATCAGTTATGCAACTCACAGCTGCTTTTTGAAATAAATAGTTATCGAATAATGGGTTAAAGTGCAACGTCTAAATTTCGTCTAAAAATATTCAGAATCTAGACAGTTTAAATTAGGTCTAAAAAAACTAGACGTCTAATAGCCGTCTATTGTTCAGTGAGGTGTAAAGCACCAAGGAGCATTGAAGCTGAAGAGACACAAAAATGCACCAAAGTAGCGCAAGTTGACTAGTAACTGAGAAGGATTTACACCTCCTTTTGAAAAACAGTCGTCAGTGCAACAAAAACACTAAGCAAGAAGAAGAATGTGTTCCCAGAGGGTGTTTTTTTTATCTCAATCCTTGAGTGTGGTATCAGTTTTACACATCAGTACAACATTCGTTTAAAAAAGTAACAAAATACGATGAATTATAAGTTTTACAATTCATTTGGCTTCACTAAAAGACAAGCTAGTACTTGGAGTCGAAGGATGCTGGACCATTACGAAGCAATACAGACATTTTCCCACAATCAAAGCAGACCAGCTACTTTGTGTTTTGTGGTTATGTGTAGGAATAATTTATCATGTTACCAGGGGAATCAGAGAAGTCTTTGTGGTTATGCTAATGATTGTATCCATAGATCACATGACAGGAGAGACAAGAGTTTGAAGTCCCTACCCCACTGAGCAAAAGACGGCTATTAGATGTCCAGTTTTTTTTAGACCTAATTTCAAACGTCTAGATTCTGTATGTTTTTAGATGGAATTAAGACATTGCACTTTAACCCATTATTCAATAACTATTTATTTCAAAAAGCAACTGTGAGTTGCAGAACTGACCTCCAACTACTTAACCAAAATAATTATAATAGCCGTTGAGCAATATACATTGTAGTATAGATATAGCTCAGATTCAGACTTGGTCTAAATTTAGATGCTGATCCAGTCATCTAGGCTACTTTTAGAAGTCTATTAGACCTGTTTTAGACCAAAAGTCTAGTATGTCTTTCGTATGTCATCAGTATGTCTTTAAGAAATGACTGTTTCTAGCTTAATACATCTTCAAATCCGAGTTGAAATTCACATGAACACAAATGGGGCTCAGCTTCAGTCTTGTTTCTACAGGCTAATCTCTGTATCGCACTAAGCTAACATCTTTGCATTTTACTGTGTCTCCCGCCACTCCACTTAGCATGCTCCCATCCTCCACCGTGATGTGCTTCTGCTTAACACCTTGGCTAAGCTTGCTGAATAATGCAGGGGTGGGGGTGGGGGGACTAACACCTGCTGAGTCAGCATTTAAGACAGGTCAGCGGAGACACAAGAGCAGAAATGCTTCAGCAGCCGTTAACACCCAAATGCAGAGGTGGCACAAACAAGCAGATGCATGGGTGATTGGACTTCAAAATATACATAATCACAGGAACACACACATTAAGAAAAGGAGATGGAGGAAGTGACAGAAGAAAGCCTGGCTGTGAAAGAAAGGAGAAAAAAAAAACAGCTCTCAGGGGATAGGATGAAAAACCAATGCTGTATGTTAGATAGTGGGAGCATTTGTCTCAATAACAATGCATCACAGCCAAAGGTGGCAAGAGGAGGGGGGTGGCAGGGTCTTAAGCCTACTCTGAACAGGCCGAGTCTCCCCTAAAGTCTTACAGCAATTTTTGGATTAAAATATTAACAGAATAAAAAATGGAATGCAAATTTGCAATCTCAAACTGGCTTACAGACATTTTTACACACACAAGAAAACAAGATGAGGATCATTAAATGTAGCTGTTTGTTTTCTAAACTGATTCCAAAATAAACTAATTTACAAGTCATTTCAATGTAAATTCACAGAGTCTGTGGGTTAATAAAGCCGGACTAGTTTGTCAAGTGTGGCTAAAGTCAGAAGAGAGGGGGACGATGTTGGATCTTTTGTTAGGCTTCTCATTCATGTTCCTAGCTGTCGCTGTGAAACTGTTGCAAACTTACTGGTTGTGTGTGTGACAACATTAGAATTTGAGTTGCTATAAATGACATATTGATTGAGTTAGTTCATGCCCACGGCTTGTGTAAACCACATTAATTTTCATGTCCCTCAAATATAGGGTAGCAGATGATGCTAAGGACTGATTATTCTAGCAGTGAGAATGCTAATGTTTAATATCATAAAGACATTGGATCTAAAATAGAGGAGAATAATAATTCGGACAGAGATGGCTGAAGAGAAGGACTGTTAGGACGACTTTTAAAACTTTAATGAGGTTGCATCGAAGGTTGAAAGTAAGCTACATCTGTTATATAATGTGTGGACTAATGGACTAATATTAGCTTTAGCTGATGGGCATCTAGCTTTAAGGAGTTAGGTGTTGCTGATTCTTGCTTTTTCAAATCTACCCTGTGTTTGATATGTTTTTGCATATAGCTGGGGTTTTTGTAAAACTATAGACACTATTAGCAACTGACATTTGATTGCTCACAGCTTTAATGTACTTGTAGGCCTACATTTTGTTTGTGCATAAGAGGCCAAAGTCAAGCTCCTGTGAGAACTTTTAGGAAAAGTTAATTTTCTGATTAACAAATGCACAGAAACAAAACTGTAGTCATACATGGATTTATGCTCGCTGGGACCTGTTTTCAAAAAGTATTGTTTACAGTCACCCATATACGCAGTTTCTGTGTGGGTGAAACACAAACAAAAAACTTTTGCAGTGCACATTTACATACACTGCACAGTCAGTGCGTTTACATGCACAGCTTAATCAGACTGAGCTCAGAATTCGTTTTTTTTTCCGCTGAATGGGACTTCTCTCCTTGTCCGCGTATAAATGCAGCTCCAATTCCAATGGCATTATCTTGGTGTCTTAATCGGAGTTCTGCGACTTCAATAGGAGTTCTCAAACTCAGATTATAGTTGGACTAAGGTGTTTACATGCACTTTAGTTGTCCGATCTTAATCAGAGTAAGGCAATAATTCGGTTTTCTTGAGTGCCATGTAAACGTACCGAGTGATGCTTTGGCATTACACTCACACTAGTTGCTTCATTCAGCCACAGAATTGTGAAAGTGGATGGATGAAAAAGACAGAGCATAATACCAGATAGAGAGCTTAATCTTCATCTCGCTGTACTTGTTTTATGAAAAACAAACCCTTGGAAAAAAATGATTGATTCAGGGCCGGCAGGATAGCATGAAGAAAGAAGAAGAAGGATATAGAAGGAGAGTCAGACAGAGATCCATCAGTAAGAAAGGGTAAAGCAGGTGGGTGTGGAGAGTGTGCTGAAGTTGTAAGGACAGATTGTGAGGAGTGTCTGAGGGAGGGGCTGAACAGAGAAAAGCAAAGGATGAAGGATGAGAGGGGCTTGTCCCTGTGTAACCTCCTATGCTGTGATGGAGTGTATTTACCAACACTTCATCAGCAATATCCTCCCTGTGTGTGTTTGTGTGTGCAGGGGTTGATTCATCGTTGTATAGCATTTGCATTATCTCATCTGCTTGTGTGATACTGCATCGACTGTTTAGACATTGAATCATCCAACATGCTGTCTCTGGTTATGGATTATGAATACGTCTGTGTTGCATCACTCTGGCTTATGGTTGGAACAAGGTGCCAGCCTTTTTGTCACGTATCAAAAAATACCTGGGGATTCTTCAGGTACTTCAAGGTCTGTCAGTCAAATCCACAAATGTCAAGAATTACAGCTTAGTCACATCATACCGCATGCACTTTATGGATTTCTTCAGCTGCCACTGCGTGTAAATTTGGCGAGTCTGTTTCTACGTTAAGGGATAACGGGATAATATGTGTGTAAGAGGAGGGAATGCTTGTTAAAGTCTATGCGAGGGTGTGTGTTTGTGTGTGTGTGTGTGTGTGTGTGTGTGTGTTTGTAAGGCTTGTTAGGGAAGCAGTTGGCTCCTGCTGACAGCTACTGCAGTCTGAACAGCAGGGCTGACGAGGACAATCAATTAGCCTTGCATTTGCGTACCGCACGCACACACACACACATACACACAAATTGATGTTTGGTAAATATGAGCGCTGCATAAAACACAGCATAGGCAATATACATTAACGATACATAATAACTATTCAGTGTCAAAGCAGCACACAAATTCTACTTCCTTTATATCCCTGTGACTTAAAATATACACACACAGCTTAGCATCAGGCAGTTTTCCATAGTTGTTTGTGTGTGTTTGTGTGTTTGTGTGTGTGTGTTTAAGCTAGCCCCAGCTGTGGTAGCACAACTTTATCAAATATCAGCCTTCATCCCTCTAAGGGCTGCCTGGACAGTGTTTGCCGCGTGTATGGACGTGTGCGCGTGTTTGCTCAGAGCGTCATGTGCGATGCTGAGCAGATGCTGATGTTTTGACAGCCGTCCTGCTCTCAGTCTGCCTGCCTCACATCAGCTGTCCGTGAGTGTGCGTTTGTATGTGTGCGCACAGGGAGCGCCGGGTTAAGCAGTGGTCTGCCTGTCAGTGTGTTTCTGACCTTCTATCTACCACTGGGATCACTTATCCTGATGTCGGCTCCACAGTAGCTCCACACAGCACCATCCTTCTGCCATTTCTTCCCTTTTCTCCTTTTGTGTTTTTCTCTCTCTCTTTTTTTTCCAGGGTCGGTTAGCTTCTCTTTATGCCTTGCTCTCATTTTTTCTCTTTTGATATCCTTTAACAATGACTCTTCCCCCTTTTTTTCTGTGCTCCTCTCCATGTCCCTTAACACCATTTCACCCTCTCTCGGCAGTATTTCTATTCTCTCTGCTCGACTCTTCTCTTCCTCACTCTCTGCTGCTCCAATACCAAATTCAGAGAGTAACTGATGAAATGAAAACAGCAGAGGGGAAGCTAATGAAGACAAGAAGAGACAGGGAAAGAAGGAGAGAGACAGAAGGAGAAATGCTGAGATACACAAATGGCGGATCAGAGGAAAAAAAAGAGAGAGAGAAAGAGAGAGAGGGGGGAAGTATGAGGAGAAACGCTGACAGTTGGAGAGGAAAAGATAAAAGTGTTTGACAGAGGAGGAAAAAAAGATTCTTTTTCATTTGTGTCAGAGCACCATTGTCAGAGTAACAAAGACGTAGCTCTCACAGAGCACTAGAGGATTTCTCTCTCTGTGTTTCTCTGCGAGCACACGCGCACACACGCACATAAAACATAAATACACAGAGTGTTTATCTCCTTCCTTCAGCAGGGACGGATCTCCCGGGGTGAGAGCGGCTTCAGCTCTCATCATTCTGCAGTGTCATTTCTGACATTTGTCATGTTCTCACCCTCACTTATAGCCCTGCTAGCATAAGCCCAACGGCATCATTGCGCTTTCTCAGAATCGGAAATTTCTCACCTAGGGAAACCTAGACTTAGATCAGAACAGATGGATGCATGGTTGGCGGTTGGGATAGATAAAAAAGGCATATGAACAGCAGCAGTACCTATTGAAGGCTTCAGTTTCTGCAGTGAAAACAACACCCAATACAGAACAGTACCCTGCAATGAGGCTTTCACTGGAGTTATGCTGTAATAAGTTGATTTCGTTCAATCTTTTATCAAGTGTTTATCTCAAACTTTAATAATTATGGTCATAAAGATTAAAACCCTAACTCTAAAAATGTCAAACTTTTAAAATAGAAAAGCACAGATACTTTCTTTAAAAACAAGCTCCTGCATCAATGAATGATGTGAACAATTAACAGCAGCTCAGCTTGAGTCTTGAGCTCTATCTAAAAAGACAGGCACATGAGTGACACCAAACACTTGACTCTATTTTGGTCACAGTTGCTCTTATGGCAAAACTGAAATGACACTTATTGCAGTCAACAAACTCAGACAGTCCACTTCATGATCAGACTAAAACAAAAACTACACAAAGACTTTCCAGCCAAGACAACTCACGGGTCTCAGTCTCTGAAGGCCACAATTGAAGACTGAATGTGTCACAGCAGCTTGTCAAAGGCTGTCTCAATTCAAAGACTCCTCCAGAAGCAGCCAACAAAAACCAGCCCCTTAAATCCAGCCAAATAGCCAGGGTTATTAAATGTCATGGTATCATAGGTGTCTCAATACCGTCTTGGACCTGCGATTGTAGGTCTTTTGGACAAACAGTGAAGTTTTGTTCTGCCACAGTGAAGCAGAGTGAAGGAAGTGGGAAGTTCAGAGACCATCATCCCATGCATGCCCATCATTCTTTGTGGCAACCTCGGATGTATCAAAAATAGTGGCAGCATTCCATTATATCAAGAAATAAAAAAGGAGATGGGTGAACAACTGTATGCATCTGAAGATCTTAACCTGGTCCTGTTGTGGTTTTGCATTTGTTTAATTCTGAAATTGTCAGGGTTCAATAATCTATGCCTTGCAATGAGCCACATTTACATCAAATCACTGGTTCTACAAACAACCAGTTCATACATTACCTGATAAACTATTGAAGTAAAATTAATCTCCCAGCCGACAGGTATTTAACCACATAAAGAAAAATGTTGATGGTTAGGTCCTTGGACGGATGGTTGAAGGTGTGGAGATGTTTAAAGTTTGGCCAAATAACAACTGTAAAACACAATCTGTCAGCTTTAGGTCACTGGTGTTGCAGGCATCATCCTCTTCCTTAAACTAAGCAGCTTTCTATAAGCAGCTGTGGTACTTAAAGGCTAGTTAGCTAAAAGAATTATGTCATATATGTTTATGCTCCCGTATCTCTGTGTCAGAAATCTTTGGGTAAATGTTGCATACAAATAATTTTCACCTTTCTATCAAACCCAAACTGAAGAGTGTTGAAACTTTCAAAAGTAACAGCCTTTTAATGGTAGTTATGTGACCAGGGTTACCAAGGGTCCTAGATAGGGATGTCTGGTATCACAAAAGGAAAAACTTTGAGTAAAAATTTCATTTTCTAGGCTTTTGTCAAAAAACTCCCAACTGCAGACCTCTTTTTCAAGAAAAATTTCAAGTGGAAATGAAAAAAAACTTATTCTTTCTATCGTCATTTAAGAATTTACCATTCAATTTCAGCATCAGGTTTGTTAACTTGTGACATGGGAAGAAGACGCACAGTGTAGTGTGCCTGGATGGGTGTTTTTTAGTGATGTTTACAGCAGTCTTTAAAGGGATATTCTAGCGTAAAGTTAAGTTAGGGTCAAGTACACCATAACACCGAGTTAGACAATCCCTCGAGAAATGAATGTTGCCAACTGCTTGCTTCTCTAGTACTAACTTACCAATATTAGTAATGACTGCATGATAGCAATACACAGCAGTCTACATCTCCACATGCACACCTCAACTGAAAAGCCACTCTATAGCCTCAAGTAATGCTCAGAACAGCACCTTCATCAACTTCATCAACTTCATCAACAGTACATACTGTATAGGGTCCCAGCCATGGTGCAAGCCACCAAACATCTTTTTAGCTTTGTCTGGTTTCTTTAGCAAAGAGACTAAACACAACTCTCCCACTCTCCTCCAGCAGCCACTTGTTTGTGGGGGGAATCCTGACAAGTCGATCATCTAGTGCAGTAGAGTTTCGCAGTTCAAGGAAGAACATTTATGACGATCACTTCATGGAATTGGAATATCCCTTTAAGGGGTTGACCAAAAAACAGCAAAAAATCACATGAATATTGTCTCTGCAATGTTTCTTTAGAAGAGTTTAAAAGCCAAATAATGGCAGTTATCATATTCAGAGTTCTGACTGTATCAACCTTCAGTACAACTTGCAAAGAGCAGAGAAGCAGCATCTAGGTGTGCTTGCCACCTCCTGGCCCACAGTTGTCGACACTAAACACGCCGAGTTGTCTGACTTGTAGCTAAGCTTGTGTAGTAAAACTATCCCTTTAATAGAAACTGTCCCTTTAATATGAGTCGTTTGTTTTATAGAGATCAAAAGCCTTTCTGACTTGGATCTCAGTGACTCTGAAATAGCTGCAGCAGATACTCATTCCCTCCCTTGTCCCTTCAGAGAGCCAGTTTCAGCGCAACACTTCGCCTTTGGGGATATCTGTGTAATTAATACCAGATGCAGTGACAGAGGCACTGCTCAGTACACTCAGTGGAATTATTTGTGTAAATATGAAGTATGATGTGGTTTAAAAGCAATAATCTTGTGATGGCCGAACACTTTACCCAGACAGTTAAAGTGACTGTAGGTTTTAATTGGACCCCATAGTTTAGGTGTCAGTTTATTTGACACTTTGTAGAAGGTGTTTGTATTGGTGATAAAACCATGCTGTTTAACTGAGACCCTCCTTAATATACATAGCCAAATGGTTTTTAAATACTTTTCACACATTTTAAATACATTTACAAAAGTTAATTACTTTGCTTAATGTCCTGTTTAAACTCTTTAAGTGGGCATAAAGCAAACTGTATTTGTCATGTTTAAACACACCGCTGCTGTAGGTACGAGGATGTTAATGCACATAGCTTGGCACATTCAAACACACACACACACAAACACACTTATATCTATATCTCTAATGCCTGTTTTCCTAACCTCATTATCCTTCATTCTTATTCATCAGTGTTTCTCCCACTACTGAGGGTGCCTCCTTGTGTGTTCACAGACTCCCTCCCACTGTCCAAACTTTTTTCTCTTCTTCAATACTTTTCTTATCCCTTAATCTCTTGTTTCTTTTTCACATTCACTGCTTATTCAGCAAACCCCCTCCCACTCCTGTTTCTCTCTGTTGTGATGCCATGCACTCTCTATCACTCTTTCACACCTCTCTTCTGTCTCTTCTCATATCCATCACTTTCCCTCGCTCAGCTTACCTCATGTTTTTCCTCCCTCCCTCCCTCTCACCCTCTCTCTCTCTCTCTCTCTCACACATACACACACTCTCTTACGCTTTCTTTAACCTGCTTGTCAGCTCTTTTTGTGGTGGCGCACATATTGGCAGATTACCCCATCCCCTCCCTCCCCTCCTCCAATTCATCCTCTTTGCGTTACCCTGTTCAACCCCTCATCTCACCTTCAATTATAACTTTCCAATTGTTTATTCTCCCACTTTTTTTCCACTTCTGTTTATTAATTCCCCTTTCTCCGTTTCTGCCTATCTCTCTGCCATCTCCCGTTAAAACTTATTCTTTATTCCCTTCATGTTTCTCATTTCATCTGCTCCTCTCTTTCATCCACTGGCCTAATCATTTTCTTTCATTCCTTGCATTTCTCTCACCGTGCCTCCCTTTCCTTGCACCATTCACCTCCTCCTTTCTTACCCTCTCATTTTCCAGCTCCTCTCTTGTCTGGATCCACCATGGCAGTCAGATGGCTCAACTACAAGACAGACTACAAGGACGAAACATCAGTCCCCTCTTCTTTTTCTTTCAGCTCTGCTCTCTAATTCCCCTCTACAGTACACTGTGTCCCCAGCTGGGCTCTTTAAGAGCGTTATTGGCCTGTATATTGTGTTATTTTGGCCTGAAAAAGACAGAGCACATCAGCGGGGATTAAAAAGTCTGATAAAATCACAAGTTCACAATAACAAGTGACTGAGAGACTCAGAGCAGGGCAGTTATGTAAACAGACTCAATAACTACAAAGGATGCCTTTATTCAGCTCAGACACAATCTATCACTAGTTTTGTTTTTTAGCCTAGAATTTAAAATCTATATTTAATCATTTGTTCAAGTAGCTAGAAATTCAGTTGCCAACCAACAAGGGTTGCACATTTACCGTATTTTTTGGATTAAAAGGCGCACTTAAAATCCTTAAATTTTCTCAAAAGTTGACAGTGCGTCTTAGAATCCAGCGGGCCTTATCTATGATTACTTGTTGTGCTTAATGACCAATTTTATGTAGTACAATCCACTCAAAAATATGTCGAAATGTGTAAGTACGACTTTGGTAAGCAATGAATCAATGGATATTCTCAGCAATCCGGTGCACCTTATGTGCGTACAAGGACACATTAATTTACAGTGCGCTGTATAATATGGCGCATCTTATCACCCAAAAATATGGTAATTGTCACATTGTTTAAATGTGTCACTAAAACTGGCTGTGATCATGATTTTTTTTATTTGAAACCATCATTACCAAATGAAAAAGTGCCAACGATAAGTTTAAGTCATGTTTGTCAGTATGAGCTAGCATTAGCCACCATAACCTACCAGGAAGTTTGGCCGGAGGTGCTATCAGTATTATTCAAATGTTAATTTCTATTTACAGATACTGCAGAGGCGGACATACTTGTGTAAATAATATGATTCTTGTCCAAAACCCATTCCAATGAAAATCATGTTTTTCTTTTTTTCTATAAGTTTATATGGTATTTTTCTGATGCTACAGGACATATCATGAGAAAAGTAAGTGCGACATTGCTTTTCTGAGTGTTTCTCCATTCAAATTGCTGTGAATCTCTGGCAGACCCAAACGGTAGATTCAGAAACAGTGAGACTTCATACATAACTAATCCAAGCTCTGCCCCCGGAGCCCCGCTATGCAGGCCACGCTCTTCATATAGAGGAGAAATACAGAGGACGATCGCGGAACAAGCGTGTGTGTTAGCGGATTGCAATGCTCATAAGAAAGCTAATTCTGATATTAACTTTCATCATGCCCCTGAAGACATTAGTGTCTGAGAGCTGAATAGCTCCGATGTTACCTGCCACTTCTACTACACAGGCAGTGTTAGGTTGCAAGTTAACGTGAAGAGCAGCGCTGTCTCGGCCCACAACTCAGAGGCGAATTGTTAATAATCTACTGGAGCTCTGCAGAAGAGAAGCCCTTGAAAATGACACATGTAAAGTGATTTTTTGTAAAAACTTCATAATCACAATTTAAAGACTACTGAGAGCACTTTAAGTAGTTAAAAAAAACAATCAGAGTGGGACTTTAAGTTCTTCTTATTAAATGTTCAGCACATAATCCGTATTGGCAGTCCATGTGTTAGATCTATCCATCATTTTTCACAACAATTAGCCTTATCTTAATGGGCGATAACACTGATTGCACCTAACCAGAGACAAAACATCATTGTGAGAGAATTCATCAGTTTTTTTTGTAAGGATATTCTGTATATTTGGATTGTCTTCAGGAATTCATTGTTTTGTTAAACTCTCACATTGAGGTCACAGGGTGAGGAAGCATAATTATGTTTCCACTTCACTCATTGTGCATGAATGACCCTTCCAGTCTGGGAAGCCAGATTGGTCTGCAGCCTTGGTGTGGGTACTTGATGTTGACAGAGTTCCTGCTTGAGCCTTCTTTTTATGCTTAGTCTCTGAACAGAAACTTAGATCAGATAATCTGCTGATGCTTGGCTTTCTACTCCACCCCCTTTCCCCTCTATCCAAAATTTCCTTATCTCACTCCCCCTCCTCTCCTCTATCAGTCTCGCTCTCCTCCATCTCCTCTTTTATACTCTCTCCATTTGCTTGCTGTTGGTTGTACTATCTCTCTTTCCAAGCTGACAGGGCAGAAAAGTGGAGGGACAGGTCTTTTAACTTGGCATATCTCCCTGAACACACCTTTTCCCCCTACCTCTCCTCTGTGCCCTCCAACTCCTCTAAGCTCACTTCTAAACTTTCACTCTCCCCCGGCTGCCCTCTCCTCCTAAAACCCAAGCGCAACCACATTTTCACCCCACATCTATCCCCACTCAATTTCCAAGACATAATCTCACTCTTTGCGACACTCTTGTTGCACACACTCCTCTCCTACCGGACTGTCCAAGTGGTCGCCACCCTTACTTTGTGTGTGCAAAGCAGGAAAGGACTGTCTGCCAAATGTTTAGGGGTGGGGTAACTTTGGCACATACAACTTTTGCACAAAAAGTGTGTGTGTTTGCTAGCAATGTCAAGACTCTATTAGGGGATACCCTTGAAAGGGAGATCCTGTAATTGTGTTTGAGTGTGTCTGGTGAGGTGGGTGGGTTGGGAGTAGTTTCTTGCCGAGTGTCCTCATTGTGACTCATAAATTCCAGTGATACCCCTCCCTGCTGTCATCCTGCTGTTTAATATAGTGACACAAAAACATTTGGATACCATTTGCAACCTGTTTTCAGTCGTGATGTAAAGCAGGGATTACCCAAGGTGGTGGACTTCTGCAAATGTTAAGAGCAAATCTATTTTTCTGCATCTCAGGAGTGAAAATATTCAACATATTGATGTTTTTTTTTTACACTAAAAATGTTTTTGGTGTGTGTGATTTGGACAATGTGTAGTGAACACGGGGTTCATTAGGGCACCCTGTTGGAATTCTCATTTTCACATTTTCTATAGCTGATTAATTAAATTAGTTTGATATCATGCCTTGTATTGAAAAGCACCAACTGCTGAATGAGAATGAAAATGGAGATGAAGAAAAGGGAGGCAGAGAATCTTACTTTTTCCTAAGTAGGACGTCATAATTGTTTTTACATAGAGTAAGTTTACATCTGAAATGTGCACTCACAAGCTCTGCTGTCATTGCCTGGGATTGCAGGACAGGATGTTGCTCCACTTTAACCTGTCTGTGATGGTTGGGTCCCTGTGGCTCTTCAGGATACTCTCCCATCATTATCCTCTAACTGTCGGAGGACCAAACTGAGACTAAAACTCATATTTGGCTATAGTGGACACAAGTTTGAAATGCTGGTGAAAACAGATCTCCCAGACTCCTTTTCTAGGCATCTACTATTTGCCTATACTGCATGTGACTGCTGAGGATAATTCTGCTTTACAAAGAACCTTTACGTTAGCTTTGTGGAAAATGTCTTTTTAACGCTTCAAGCTGCACAGTGTAGATTTTCTTTATCCTTTTTGCAGTTTTGATTGAGTGACTCTGTAATCTATGTGTGTGTGTATGTGAAAATGTGTCACCTTGAGATCCCAGACAAACCCAAGTAGCGTGACATCACTCTCTCTGCTATCTCCGAACCTTTAGAGTACAGGAGCACATGTTTTGTCTGCATGTGGAATGTGTGCATTGGTGAATACCTTTTCCATTAATTCCTGTTCCTTCACGCCTGGATCTCCTGAGCATGGGGGATCTTCGAAGGGTTTGAAATGTTAGCTTAACATAAGTCGACTGTAAAATGCATTATCTCTGCTCATGTAGCTTTGTTTTATGCACGGGTGCTAGCTTGCATGTCTGTGACACTGTTTGCGACACTATGTTTGCTCACAGGGCCCCGACAGGTTGAAGAGGCTTTTGATTAAAAGGAGATGAACAGATGGGGTGAGATAAAGGCAGAAATGAGAAAGGGAGAGATTGAAAGAGGAGGATCTAGAGAGATGGACTGATATGTGGCAAGGCAGCGACTGATAAGACAGCACTGAGAGAGGAGGGCCAAAGATAAGAGAGGAACTATTGGAATAAAGAAGAGGAGGAACCAGGAAGATGCGCCAGCAGCCTTTATAGAAGATAATGTATTCTATTTCTCTGAATAGAAGTTATTCTCTGTTTAAAAACGCCCAAGATCGCGACACAATTCAAGTAGTATATCCAGTTTTTGAGGTTTTATTTGTTGGAAGATGTAATCCTTGACTGAAAGTATGCTTTTACAGGAACATCTTAATGTTGTCACACTTTTTGTTGAAAATAGCGCATGTGTGAGTCTGTGTGAGAACTATTACATAACTCCAACTAATCTTGAGGTCAAGAAGGGGAAATAAGATAACAGTGAACTGAAATCTCTGGGAGGGAGCTACACATTCCTGTGCACTTGAAAAGTAGTGTAACACTTCCCCCGGCCATAGATGTTTGATTCAGTTCACAGGTTTTCGACAAAAGTGACGCTAATACTCTCAGAAACATGTTGTTGTCTATGAAAAAAATTTAGAAATTTGTATAGAAATGGATGAAATTTAATCTAATTTGATTATTTTTAACATGGAAGAACCTGTTGTTGTGAATATCTGGATCTAAGTCTAATACAGACATGGGTGGTTTATGTCTAAGCCACACAACCCTAAGATTTAAACTCAACAACCACAGTCCGGGTGGCTGCGTCTTACTCACTGAGTGCTTGTATTATTTGAAACGGTGGAGTGTAACCTTCTCTTTTCACGTTGTTTTATTGACTAAGTCCTACATGTATGACCAACAAACCAGTGTTAAAGCAGTGAGAACTCTTTTGTTGTATTATGGTATTTTACTCAGAAGTGGAGTTCTTTTACATCCGATAAATACACTGAAATCCATAGTTTTTGCTTTTTGATGACAGCCAAAAGCAAACGCCAAAGGTTGGCTCAACTTCAGGCAAACTGATCACAGGCAGTCGGTTTCATACCTGACAACTTTCAACATCGCCATATGCTGAGCTCAACACGCATACTGATTGTTAGCAAGATGTTGAAAACAGATGGTAAAAGGCGAAAACAGACAGCTGCATTGAAAATGTATTTTTCTGAACACAATGGAGGTCTTTACATAGAAAGATGGTTATTTTCTGTGTTTGCTTTCTTTTACTTTATGATGCCTCAGAGTCACAGGATAATAACCCTTTACAACTAAAAAAAAAGAAAAAACTAAGAGCAGGTGACACTAACTGTTAGAGAAAACACTTGTAACGACAACAGTTTGAAGATGGACGATTTACACTCTTTCACGAATAGGTATGATGGTGGTTTACCCCGATATTGTGACTTTTATCTGGAGGCACCAGTGTCTGACAACTTTATGTTTGTTTCTATCTTCGTCCCTCTACACACACTAGTATACACACTCACACTCACACAAACACACACACACACACTCAATATGTGACATGCATTTTATTCTGTCTGGGTCTCTTCAGCAGAGATGAGAAGCTGTTCAGGGCAAGAGGCCAAAGAGTGTTTACTTTGTTGTGCGTGTTTACATGTGTGTTTGTGTGTTTCCTTTTTCTAGGAATACTCCTTGTCTCCTGATCTTGACACACACACACAACACGACACTTTTAATGCACACATGCTGATACTCTTCAATGGCAGAGAGAAAAAAAACAAGTGAACCCCTGAACCAACAGGGTGGAAAAGAAAACCTTGGGGGGAATTCCTTGAAATGAGCTCAGACTTTCTGACATTATGACAGAACACGTATACACACACACACACACACACACATTCATATAAAGTGCATACTTGGGCACTTTCACAATCACAATAGGAGGAATCAAAGTTACCCAGCTCCTAGTCCTGTTTCACACCGGGACACAGTAAATGAGCAACAGTGAATTTAATCACCGAACTAAGCGCTCACATAATTCAACATGCTGTGAATCTAAAAGCCTCTGAAAGCATGTGCAGCATCTAACAACCTGTCTGTCTCAGCAGCAGCTATCGCAGTCGCCTTTGTGCAACAAAAGATCATCAAGATATCAAAGAGTTCACTTTGATAACGGTGATCTGATTTGATATTAACAGAGAGTAAAGATGGCTCAGCGGCCCTGCCAGCAGGATCTGCAGTGACGGCTCCTCTCCCATGTGACAGTGTTCAAAAAGTTATGTCATCCTCAAAAGCTCCACCACTGACAGAATGATTTAATTGTCTGAAACTGTGCAACACTCCAACAAAAAAAAAAAAAAGAAAAACAGAGGTTCATACTCAAACAAAAAAAAGCATGTGCTCCAGCCAAGTTCTGAGGGCATTTTCTCAGATCTAATAATTTCCAAACAACTTCAACGGGTGTTCCCGTATTTTGGATTAATTTGACAGATGGCAAGTGTAGACATCCCAGGGATATGTACAAAAGAGACACTGTTTATTTCTTTTGATTCAAGTTTAACCACATCAGTCAACCACAAGTATGTGTTTATGTTAAAAAGACTTGCTAAAGGGCAGCGGCAGCTTCTTAAAAACGCTCCGACACAGTGGTGAACTGTCTCCTTGATGGAGATAAATGCGTTGATTTCTATCATATGTAATCGTTTAACAATTTAAAAATAATGTAATATTGTAAATGGTTCAAGGAGGGGTAGTTTGAAAACATTCATTTGAAATAAAGCGTGAAAGTCGATAAAGATAATGTTAAGAGTGAACGGTAATAAAAAAGAATGATGTGCTTGTATCAACTTCAGAGGAGTTTAGCTGCAAAACAAAAAAAGGGCAGATCTGACAAAATCTGTTGGAACATGTCATGAAAACTCCCTTTTTAAAGTATTTGTAAAAGCATGTTAGCAAAAAAAAAAAAAACTTCATGCATCTGATCAGTCCTGCTTAATACATTTTCCTCCCTCTATTCAGCAAGAGAACAAAGGCTTTTTATGCCAACCTGCATCAACTAGAGCTGGTACATCTATCATACTCCTTCAGAATAAACTTTTGTTTTATTACTTTGCCAATCAATCTCTTCTTCTATCTACTATATGTCTACTTTTATGACATCTTACATTTCTTTTATAGGCTCTCACTCTGATTGAACAAGACCCTGCAACTGCTTTGCTCCTGACAGGTTGTAACCCTGAAGCCAACATCTGTAGATGCCTCACACTCAGGCTAAAGCAGCAAAAATCCTGATATTTACTTATTCAAGTGTGTTTAGATGCACTCTACATGCATGGCGTGTTTGGTTTCTAAAATGACTTGTCTTGAGCATGAACTTGAGATGCTCAGGGATATTTGATTGAGAAGCAAATGCTGCCAAAATGTTGGGATATACTCGAGTGTCATGACCTCTCACTCTGTTATTTTTTAGTTTAAGAACCACATTAGGGTGAGAGTTGAAACAGGCCTGAGGGGCAGTTATCCAGGTTAGAACCTAATACAATGGTATTTGACTATTTCCCAGGCAAATGCAAACATGCAGCTGAGTGAATGCCTCCATGTGCAATATATGAGTGTGTGCATGTGTGTGTGTGTGTGTATAAGTACTCCAGCACTGGAGTACTTACTGTAGCTCCAGGGCCAAACGAAATGTAAGCATGGCGCACCTGCAGGAAGTGAGACAAGCAAGACGCTTGAGTCTGAAGACCTCAGGTTGAGTGAATGAGACACGCTGCTGAGACGGAACCACAGTTTGTCTGAGACTAACTTGGTTTTCAAAAGCTGTGAAAGTGGAGCAGCATGGTCATTCCACAGACTCTCTAAACAGCTTCTTTTACCCACTAACCTTTTCTCCTCCATTCACCAAGCATCTGTACTTTTCTACTGCTTTCTCTGCAACATGCTTTCACTTCAACCAGCCATACTACCCATCTCTCACACTTGTAGTGTTTCATTTTGGGTCAGTTGTATTCAATTATTACTAGCAGATATGTCAGTGATAATATGAAATGAGTATTATGGAAGTAAATCTGTGCCATTTGACTTTGAATTTCTAAAGCAGATTTTTTTTGCATCAAAATCAGACAGAATTTCAAACATGCATTTTTATTTCTTACACGTATTTTTTTTATAATGATAAAATATATTCAGTGGAAAAAAAATCTCAAAATATTTGTGTAGTAAAAATTCTACTTAATAATAAACTATATGTAAAAAAAATTCAACTGAAACAAATTTCAGTGTCAAAAACATTTGTGTAAAACAGACCTAATCAACATCTGGGTAATCGGGGAGAAGTAATCAATTCCTCAATCTTCCATCTTCCACTTGATTGGCTGAATGATGGATGATTGAGCCAGGAATCGATTGCTTCTCCCTGGTTACCTGGATTTTGAGTCCATAGACATAATATACGTAGACTCCTCAAAGCCCAATGTTGCCTATTGGAGCGTGGCTGCCATCTTGGATGGGTCCCCCATGCGCCTCCAGTGCATGAAGGTAGGTAGGAATGCCCAACCATATTAATAATAACAAATCTCTGCCCGATTTTCACAGTTTGGTTTTTTACAATGGCAGGGATGTAGCCATAATACAGGAAAATGTCACACATTAAAAATAATCAAAAATATTTTTCAATCCTATTTGTGAAATGTAATCCTGATATATAATGTATAATGTCTATAGTTGAGTCAGTGTGTTTTACACTAAATTTTTGGACAATTTTTTTATGTTAAATTTTTTTTACACTGAATTTATTTCATCATTGTGGAAAAATGAGTGTCAGAAATAAAAATGCATGCTTGAAATTCAATAGTTTCCAAATTCAAAGTCTGATCTTGATGCAAAAAAATTCAGCTTTAGACATTCAAATTTAAAATCAGATGGCACAGTTTTACTTCCATATAGTATGCCGAATCAAGGGGAGAAAATACATGATCTAATAATGCATATGGGACAATATGCAATTGCTTCATCACAACTTAACAGCATAAAACCTCACAGCTTTAATTCACACCATAAAGCCACCTTTAACACACTTTCAGGAAAAGTTAAGAAATGTGAACAAGAAACATTCTTTCAAACTTTTCAACACATCCAGCAGACAGATTCAGCAGTAAGCACCCTCAGCACAGCAACAAGAGTGAAATAACAAAGCCACAGTCTCACCGTCTCTCCTGATGTTACCCCTCATCACTTTGGCCGTGGAGACCTGAGCCCTCACGAGCCCGGGAACTGTCCCCAACAATAAAACCATCCACATCTGGAAAACCAGCGGTCCGCTCATACTGATCGCAAAATCCTTGAAGATTGTAATAACTCTGTAGAACTTCCTCTCCTCATTCACGGAAACACCACGCGTCTAAGAAAGTTCTCTTTCCTTGCAACTCGCTTAATCTCCTCCTCTGCCCGTAAATGACAGACACTTTTTGGCCCCCTTTGCCCTCACGCGCACACGGTGTCCCGTCCCTTGCCGGAATGCACGAGAACCCAAGTCTCCCCAAAGTTACGCACACTTGGATATAAGTGGGCAAAACTCCAGAGAAGTGCACATGGAGGGTAATATAGCTCCGCTCACGGTCAGACAGCAGCCTGGAGGCGCCGAAAATCTTATCGTGGTGCAGCAAATAAATTCTGCTCAGTCACTCTGAAATATTCCGCATAGTTAACTGGTTTGTGAGCGGCGCGTCTGGGATGCGAAAGTCAGCGCGTCAAAGTTTGCAGACAGACTGAGTGGTGCGCGCTCACGATGAATTTGAGCGTCTGCGGGCGCGTGTGTGTGGGTATGTGTGCTGGGGTGGGAGGTGAGAGACAGATAGAGAGATACTAGAATACAAGTTAGAGAAGGAAAGCTTCAAAAACAATCTATCTATCTTTCTATCTATCTATCTATCTATCTATCTATCTATCTATCTATCTATCTATCTATCTATCTATCTATCTATCTATCTACAGTTTAAACAAGTTTACATACATTATATAAAAAGACGCATAACCTTTTTTTCTAACCTCCTAACGTTAAATCAGATTAAATTTCAACTGTTTTTGGTCAATTAGGATTGCCAAAATTATTTTTATTGGCTAAATACCAGAATAATGAGAGAGAGAATTTTCAAGACAATTTCTTATTACTTTCTCAAGAGTCAAAATTTTACATACATTTCATTAGTATTTGGTAACTCCCATTGAATTGTATGACTTGGGTCAAATATCTTGGATATGCTTCCACAAGCTTCTCACAATAGTTTGCAGGAATTTTGGCCCATTTCTCCCGACAGAACTGGTGTGACTGAGCCAAGTTTGTAGTCTGCCTTGCTTGCACATGACTTTTCAGTTCTGCCCATAAATTTTCAATAGGACTGAGATCAGGGCTTTGTAATGGCCACTCCAAAACATTGACTTTGTTATCCTTACGCCACTTTGTAACCAGTTTGGCAGTATGCTTAGGGTCCCTGTCCATTTGGAAAAACCCATTTGCGTACAAGCTTCAACTTCTTGGCTGATGTCTTGAGATGTTGCTTCAGTATTTCCACATAATGTTCTTTCCTCATGATGCCATCTATTTTGTGAAGTATACTGGTCCCTCCTGCTGTAAAATAACCCCACAACATGATGCTGTCAACCCCATATTTTACAGTTGGGATGGTGTTTTCGGGCTTGCAAGCGTACCCTTTTTTCCTCCAAATGTAACAATGGTCATTATGACTAAAAAGTTCCATTTCAGTTTAATCAGACCACAGGACATGACTTCAATAATTAAGGTCTTTGTCCCTGTGTGCATTTGCAAACTGTAATCTGGCTTTTTATGTTTCTTTTGGAGTCATGGCTTCTTCCTAGAAGAGTGGCCTTTCAGCCCATGTCGGTACAGGACTCTTTTCGCTGTTGATAATGACACACACATATAATTGTTTGAACGGATGAACTTGGCACCTTCAGGCATCTGGAAATTGCACCCAAGGATGAACCAGACTTGCGTAGGTCCACATTCTCTTCCTGATATCTTCTTGAGTGATTTCTTTTGATTTTCCCATGATGTTACACAAAGAAGCAGTGTGTCTCAGGTGTGCCCTAAAATACATCCACAGATGTGTCTCTAATTAACTTGAATGTTGTCAATAAACCTATCAGAGGCTTCCAAGGACATGATATCATCATCTGGACTTTCCCAAATTGTTTAAAGGCATAGTCATCTTGGTGTATGTAAACTTTTGACTCGAGAAAGTAATAAAAAATCGTCTAAAAAAATCCCCTCTCTCATTATTCAGGTATTTAGCAAATAAAAATAATTTTGGTAATCCTAATGGACCAAAAACAGGAAAAGTTTGATCAGATTTAATGTTAGGCGGTGAGAAAAAAAAGGTTATGTGCCTTTTTTTATATAGTGTATGTAAACTTCTGGTTTCAACTCTATCTATCTGTCTGTCTGTCTGTCTGTCTGTCTGTCTGTCTGTCTGTCATCGCTGTGCTATGTGTTATGTCAGGGCTGGCTCTCTTTTCCTTCAGTTGGAGCATTTCTGTTGGAATGCCTCAGAAGAAAGCACAGGCAGGGCCACACAGGAGAGGAAATAGCGTAAGCAAGCTCAAGAGAGAGGAAGTCTTTCCAGTAAACCCTTGTCTGATTGGCATCCCAACAGGAGTGTTAAGGAAACAGGTTTGTAATTAGATCAGATAGACTGTGAAGATAAAATGACACTCCGCGTATCACACACTGGTTAGTTGTTGGCCACACTGTTTGTTTGTCTTATTACCATGTTTGACTCTGTCGCTCTTTTTCTTCTTCCCACATTTCTGCGATGAAAATCCTCATCACATCACTCACCGGTTCAAACAAGCTGTCACAACTTGTCAAACACAATACAGACGGCATGATTGCGCTTGTTTGGAAACTCGAATAGGAAAATCCAGGAATCACTTGAGAGTCAGCTTTGTGCTGCCATTTTTTTTACATAGACGTTACGCTTGAAGTAATTTTGATGATCATATTTCAAAGTGATTTATCCAGCATTGTAAAAAGTCAAGATGTTACATGCCTCATTTTCAGCGGTGGCTTCCAACACTTGCGTTGAGTTTATAAATGTGTTCATCATCAGAAGTACTCCCCTTCAGGCACACTCATACGTTTGATTTATTCATCCCCACTCTCGCTTTCCTTATTTGTACCATCCTCACCCACTCGATCTCCTCTTCACTCCCCTTTCTTGTCACCTCTGTCCACACTGAGCACACCATCACATCTTAAGAGTAATTTAAGGTTTATGGGATGAACTTGCCAACTCGATGTTCCCGCTGACTCAGCACAAAGGCTTCCCATTTACCCCAGCAATTGGCTAATGAGTAATGCAGCACCTTTTAAAACTCAGAACCACTTAGGGGATGATATAGGTTATTAATAGAGAGGGGAAATTAATTAAAATTAAAAGCTATTAGACTTCCCTGCTGAGCTTCAAAGGCATTCGGCACCCAGGGAATGAATGTGAAAGTACACATAAAGACGGCTGGCAGCCATGGCTGTATCATGCAGCATGCCACGCATGCTCGTGATGCACCCATTAACACTAACACCCTGGGGATGTTATTATATTCATGATAGTTTCAAGGAATCATTTTAATAGCTGGACATAAACATGGACAGTGATTTCACATGTGAAGGAAATAAACCATTAACGACAGGCAAGAAATAACAGAAGGGTGATCATTCATCCTGCATGATTTAACATCCAGAGCATTATTATTATTCAGTGCACAGTTAGAGGCATGTATTATCTTTGTTTCACTGTATTTCAACAACTGTCTTCCTATGTTTGTGTTTGTCTGTGTCCAAAGCGTGTGTCTGTTGATCCGGCATTATGCCCTCCCTGAGGCGACTTCGCAGTGCACAGACTGCGCTACTGAAAGTAGCCTTGCTGCCGAATGCCTGTCTGTGTATATGTGGGCGACAGGCTTGCTTGCAGGCAGTTACGTGAACCACTAAATTAAAAGGTGCTGGTTTAATCCTTAGTACCAATAGACCTGTCGTAATTGCTGAGGTGGCCTTGAGCAATCCGCTGCGCAGTGATGTGTCTAGTAAGAAGACACGTCAGTATCTGAGTAAATACCAAGTTAACACACCTGACAAAGAAGAGACTCATGCATGGATGGAAACCAGACATTCTGAGTCTTCCAAACAGACGTATTATTCACTCTGGAGTTTTCTGCATTTTCTCTGTCACTGTCACATATTGGTGTAGTTAGCCTGGGTTGACTGTGACTAATATTTCAAAGTTTCACATGTATCAAAGCTCAAACATTACTTTATTTGTACCCTTAGGTAAATTTTGTTTGCAGTGAATCACATGTATGAGATGAATCAAATAATCAAATAAGACCAAATAAAACTCAGTAAAAACAAATAAAAACCAGCAGCTCTCAAGGTTTCTTCCTTGTGTTAATGTGCCCGATGGTTGATGGGATAAAACTATTTCTGTACCACTTGGTTTTACAGGCTGGTATCTTGAGCCTCCTGCCTGATGGGAGCAGCTGAAACTCAGCATTGAGAGGGTAGGAGCTATCATTTAAGATGGAGCCAGCTATTCTCTGTAACTGCTTAGTATACAGGGATGGTGGGAAGAGCTGTGTCTTTCAAATCAGCCTGCTCACCCATTTCACTGTTTGTTTTAGGCAGTTTTTGTTTTTAAGAGACAAGTTTTCCAAACCAAGATACAAGACAAAAAGATAAAACAGTTTCAATAAAAGCCAAGCCTGATAAAACAAGGTCAGCACGGTTCTGTCGATGTGGAAAGATGACAGTTTCCTCAAACAGTACAGGCGCTGATGTCCCTTTTTGCACACAGCTTCACAGTTAGCCTCAAAATATATGTTTATTTATGGTCATCAATCTTGACCTATGATCCCTCTTCTAATATTTTATTTTTAATGTAACATAAAGTAAAGTATGGCAGACATACAGCTGAATTTGTAATGTGTGTTGCACCTTAATAACAAAAAAAAAAGGATTTGTTAACCAAACATTTGATGAAAGTCATAAATCAAAAAGATGAGATCTTTTTTAAAACCAGAGAAAAGAATGAAAAAAGTGTGAATGGTTAAGAGCTGCATCATCATGTATTCAGTTTCCACAACTGTATCTATTGTGCCATTTTATTGTTTAATCATTTACACCTGAGTGTAGGAAAAGTTAAAAAGATACTGACCAACATTACACCTGTATAAATTTTAATTTAAAGAGAAATCTCCATAACACACTAAAAACAGAAAACACTTTATGTTTTAGTCTCCATCCTGCCAATG